ATTTTCAGTTTTATTATTTTTTCGGCGCTGTGCGGCCGGAAATCGCCAGCAATTGCACGTCCCATGTGCGTGTCTTCCAAAAAATGTGTGTTTTCCACTTCTTTTTCCCGTTTTCCTGCATTTTCCGCCGCTTCTCGCCTGTGGAATAACAAATAATTAGCATTAACCACGCAATTGAGTCGCGGCGACGCAATGTTGCATTTAATTTTTCGGGAAAACGCGCTGCACATGTGCAGGCGAGGGAGACGGGTATAGGGGGCGCAGATAGAGACGGCAGCAACTGCAGCGGCAGTGCGATAAAGTATTTTTGGTAATGTCAACAAAACGCCAAAGAAGAACGACAACAAAGTAAGCAAAGAAAAATGGGGGGAGGCGAGGAGGGGGCGATAGCGAGGTCGCCATCTTGGCTTTCCCAGAAGAAGGGGAAATTGGTAAAAACACAAGATACTCGAACTTGTGGATGCACAGATACTCAGATGCACAGCAACGCACACTCACACTCACGCATTTGTTGCATGCCTCGCGTAGTTATACCCGTTACTCGTAGAGTAAAAGGGTATATTAGATTCGTGCAAAAGTATGTAACAGGCAGAAGGAAGCGTTTCCGACCCTATAAACTATATATATTCTTGATCAGGATCACTAGCCGAGTCGATCTAGCCATGTCCGTCTGTCCGTCTGTCCGTCTGTCCGTCTGTCTGTCCGTCTGTCTGTCTGTATGAACGCTGAGATCTCGGAAACTATAAAAGCTAGAAGATTGACATTTTGCATGCAGATTCTAGGAGTTCCTACGCAGCGCAAGTTTGTTTCAAAAGGGTGCCACGCCCCCTCTAACGCCCACAATCGCTTATATACGATTTTAAAAATTTCAATATTTCGGAAAAGTAAAAATGCAGTTTTATTGTGTTTATGAATACCTATCAAAATGTAGAAAAAATTTTTTTAATCGGACCATTCGTTAAAAAGTTACGGCGGATCAAAGTTTTTATCTCCACCTCCTTCGCACTCCCTTTAGCGGAGTAACGGGTATCTGATAGTCGGGGCACCCGACTATAGCGTTCTCTCTTGTTTTTGTTTTATTTTCCTCTTTGCTTTTTGGGATCGGCGGCCCTACACCAACAAAACTGGAGCCACATCACGATTTTGGCTACGATCGTGGCATTTGGAATTCAAATGCTGGCCACGCCGCCTCAGATTGCATAATTGCCACGACAGCACGGCGATCATCGAACCTTCGGAGGAATACACAATTTTATATGCTATTTGATTGATCTATCTTTAGTACTTTAAAATTGGTATAATAAAATATGTACATTTACTTTCGCATTAAAATGTAAACCTCTATTTCATGAAAGATACATTGCTTTAAGATGCGATTGTCCCGAAAATAATTATAATTCGTTTGAAATCATTTATAATGTCCTCCCATTTTTCACCTACAATCTAAAAACTATTTGGTTTTCGTATAAAATTGATTTACATCGACCCCTATGTGCATCAATTTCTCATCAGCTTGGATCATCTCTTCGGGCAATGTATCTCATTATTGAGTGTGGCTAATTTGCCCGCAGAGGTCAACAAGTCAGGACAATGGTCAGCGATGCTCCCTCTCGCTCCGGCACATGCTTGGCAGGACCCAGCCAAGGATCAGCTAACGAAAGCGAAACCAGGATCGATAGCCTCGAGCGATTCGAGCGACTGACACACGCTGTCCTTTTGGAAAACAAAGGCCTCGAAATGCGACAAATTCAAACAGTTTTTGTTTGGTTTTTCGTTTTTTTTCTAGATTTTCAAATGCATGTTGCTTTGTTCGAGTCAAAGTTCCCAGACATCTTTTGTAATTGGATCCTTTTCGACGGAGAGAACGATCCCTGCGCGTGTGAAGCGCGACGAGTGCGCGTATATCTATTTTCATTTTCGCTGCCTTCTCCTACGAATTTATTCCCATTCTTTTAGCGTTGTTTATGTCGCATAAAAAACTGAAAACGAATCCGAGGGATACTTTCCCTTCCCCAAAACACCCGCACTTCTAAGGGTCGCTGGAAATGGCGTACGGCGTGTAATTTATGCCAAATATGATAGCAGCGAATGTTTGTCCTGGGTGTTTACAGACATCACGTTTTCCCTGTCTTCTTCTCTTGTTTCTCCGCGGGTTTCCATATGAAAAGTGACAGTTGCAGATCCAAGTGCGATAAGAAAAGTCTGTCTTTCCTCCAACGTCTGAGAATTTTCACATTTCCTGCCTGCAGATCGGGCACTGAAAGAAAATGTGATTGTTAGCTAGGATGTAGTAGTTTCTTAGTCATTAATCTTAATCTTATATCCCAGTATTTTTAAGATAATCTAAAAATGGAAATATATATACATAATCATTATAAATTTATTTTAAAAGCATAAATTCTTACTGATACCACTGGTATTCAGATCTGGGTTTGCTAAGTAACAACGACAATAGAAAAGCAATTCCATAAATATTTATCTTATTTAATTTAATTAAAACGAGAAAGGAAGCTAAAGTACATGAGTACATATTTCTACGTGAAATATGCAAATTTTCCTGTGACTAAAATGGATTTTCCCCCTTGAAAAATACAAAAAAAGAAAATATTCCCAATTATTTTGAGCTGGGGGTAATGCCTATTGCAAAGACAGTTTTACCCCGTAGAAAAAAATGGCCACCCCTTGGAAACCGCAACGCGAAAAGCCAAAGTAGATCAAGAAAACATTGCAGGAAATGTGGAAGCTCCTGTCGCATTTTTAACGCTTTTTAGCATAAACAACAACAGCGGCAGGAATCGCAGAAGGGCCATCTGGGGGGTTGGTGATATAAATATATATATATAAAATAGTAAGGTTTCCCCGTCTGGCCGACGTCTGCTGCAGCTTTGGCTTTATTTTCCGGTTTTTTTGTCGCTCGTTCGTTCATTTAATTTTCAACCCCTGGGCGATTGCTACAAAAAATTTGCATGTGGCCCGTCGCGCTTTGTCGTTGCTGCAAAATTGCCAGATACTAGATACACTCGCACACGCACAATCCACTTTTAATAATGCACACTGCGTGTGTGTGCGTTCGAGCGCTCCGGAGGGAGGGTGTTTTGGGGTGTTTTCGATAAGTACTTTACGAGAGACAACCCTCGTTTTGCGGATTTTTTTATGGTCCGCCTTTGCCAGTGTAGTGGCAACATCAAAGTTCATATCCTGCTTCCGGGGGGCAGCGGGAAAATTCCCTCTGGCTCCGGTGGTTGCTCTTGGAAAAAGGGAGTGGAAGCGAATGGCATTGGCTGCTCCCTGCAATTTTTGCAAACATGCAGTGACTCTTCAATTGGATATTTGGCGAATCGCAGTGGCGATTTCGCAAGTTTTCCAGGGTCTTAGGGGTTGTGTTCAGGGTGGTGGTGTTCCGGTGAGGGAGGGGTATTTTGAAATAGCGAATCATGTGCGAATTGCTGCCAAAATATTATATATATAAAGAAGAGAGAGGTTAGCAAATGAACATAAAGGATAAATGGTCTTAAGACTAGACTTTTTACCTTGAATTACAATAAAAAAACCATAGTGAAAGTAAAGCAAATAATCTTTAAATACATTTTTTTTACAAAGTATGTAAAACAATCCAAAATTTTCTTTAAAAAATGTCTACGGATTGCCCTTAAATTGTCTTCATTGGATCTTACACAAGAACAAAGAACTTACTTGTACTTTAAAAATTCGCATAAATCAAACCTTTTGCAAAAAGGGATTTCTAACCCTTCTATAAGAACGTCCATCAGTTTCTTATAATCCGTCTCGAGGAAGTCTTCGGTTTAGAATTTGCATAATAATCAGCAGGAAAATAGGAATCCCCTGAATATGCAAATGACCAAATCAATCGAAGGCTAAATTAAAATCGATCAAAATTGATTTGTTGCCCGGTGTGCAGAAACCCAAACACCGCACCCCGAAATGCCTGATCACTTATGACCTCGCTGCCTCCAAATCCAGGACATCGCCGAAGGAGTTGAGCGAGGAGCGTGAGAAAGTCTCCTTTTTGCACGACTCTACATAATTTACATAATTTTTGGGCAAGTAAATTGCATGCACATCTCATGTGGACCTTATGCAAATGAGCGACGATAGTGCCGTCCCTCTTCAACCCCCTGCCGAAGGGACGCAGGACCAAGGACTCGGGCCGCAGGACTCAGGTGTGCGAGCGTGTCGGCATGCTGTGAACGAGGCGCCGTCCACTGTGTCCGTAATTAACCCCTGTCTGTGGCATTTTCCTTTTTCCTACCCATTTTCATTCTCACTTTCGTTTGCATCTCGGTCTCGGTCCTTTCGGCAGTTTCGCAAGTCGGGGCTTCTTATGCAAATGAGAGTGCATCCTCACCCTTTATTCGCCAAGTGAAAATCTTATGCAAATTTTCCTGCTTGTGGAAAACTCCTTCCGCCGCGAGATGCGAGATCTGCGTGATCTCCGCTTTGATTTGACTGCTGGGTGTCAGGTACTGCGAGCATCCTTCCTCGCTCCTTTTTGGCTGCGATCGTGAGAAAGTTGGAAAATTTGCATAATTTTTCGTGAAAATTTTGCCGGCTACGTGATCGCTGCAAAGACAGTCGAGATCTGAACTCTGATCACAATTTCCCTTTCCCATCCGCTTTTTATTTTTGTCGGTATGTGTCAATGACTTTTTCGGCGATAGGGATTTTGGGAATGGGCGCTCTCATTATAACAAAATTAGTTTTTGTTAGTTTGTCAACTGATTAATGTTGGGAAATGTGTTATTTGATGTTGCATAGAAAAAAATGTTTGAAAAATAATAGAAAGGGTTATATTTATAGTATTTCAATTCAAATATTCTTCAAATATAAAAGCATTTATAGTTCAATTTTTGTCAATTATGACATTTATTAAGTATGCATTTTCTTATTCATGCTTATATTTTTATTGGAAAAATTCCATAACTGTTTTATATATTGTGAAAGAGTTAAGTATGTGGAATACAAATGTAAGACTACTATTTTTACGTTCCCAGTTGGCTTTTCGGAACTGGAGATCCTTCGTCCTCGGAGGATTCGCTGCTGGAACTGGAGCTACTGCTCGAACTGGAACTTGAGCCTGAACTGGAACTACAACTAGAGCTGGAACTGCAGCCCGATTTGGATCCCTTCTGCGACTCGCTGCTGCTGCTGCTGCTGCTCATCTTGAGATCGCGAACGACGAAGGGATTCGGGGAGCTGAAGGGTTTCTTCTGCGGTGGAGTTCTTCTGTTCGGGAGGCTCATCCGTTGGGAGGAGAGTGCTCCTGGTTGCTGCCTCTGCGGACTGGACGGGCCAGGAGAATCGTCGCTGGTGTCGCTCAGATTGCGACTCTCTCCGACACCCACTCCCATTCCCACTTTCCCGCCACCAAGTTTTCCCGGTGGCGGCGGCTTCAGTTTGGCGGCTAGAGGACCACATGGTCTCTTCCGCATAACGTTGCTTTTGTTATTGGTTCTGGAATTAATCAGGGGAGCAGCATTTCGGCGGCGATTGCTGTTCAGCAGCCGCGTAATGTCCACCAGCTGGGATTGCAGAGTGCGCTGCAGACCTTCCCTTTCCGAAGGCTGCATATCCCGCAGGTTCAGCTTACTGTGTGCCCTCATCGCCTTGGCCACGGCCCGCTTCATCAGGACCCAAGTGTCCGCTGCGAAGCCCTTGACATCGAAGCTCAGATCGCCACAGCTCTCGGCGGACACTCCTTCGGTCTGCTGGACCATGTGGATGATCTCCTTCATGGCCGCCGGAGGCAGCTTGGCAAATAGTTTTTGGATAGTACGACGCTCTGTATCGTTGACCACATTCGTTGGGGCTTCGTTACCCTCGTCATCCGTTGACTCCCAGCTGACTGCCATGAGAGTGTCCACTTCACTGCTGTTGATTAAGTCCTGAGCTGGCTTGAGTTCTCCCTGGACTAAATCATCTTGCTGATCGGCGCTCAATCTCCTTTCCTTGGCTGACGATTTCTTGAGGGGAGCTGCCTCTAGCTTCTGTTTAACCTTGCTTACACTGGCACATAAGGCCTCCACCAAAGACCTGGCCCTCCAGGGTTCCCAGTTTCCCGCCAGCTGGAGGCACTGCACCAGGGCGTTCTCAGCCAACTTGGCCGCCTGCAGTAGCTCACTGAGATCCGCTTCAGTCAGAACAGAACTGCCCATTGAGTGGGGGAAAGTGCACCAGGGATCTGGCTGATTAAAGGCACTTTCGTAGATAACTTTGGCAGGCTCATGGTAACTCATGAAGACCCCATCCACATGGGAGCGAAACTCATCGATGGACTTGAAGTGGCGTCTGTCCAACTTCTTGACCAGCAATTCCCATTTGGCGGTGAAGAAACTACGGGCTGAGCTGTCCGATAGATTGGTGGAATTCTGCAACTTTTTCAACAGATCCCGGCACATGCGTTCCGTTTGAACGAAATTGGCATTGGCTCGCGATCTTCCCACCGCCTTGGGATCCTTGTTGCAGGGCAACTCCGGACCCTCGGGCATGGACCTAATTTTCTTTATAAAGAACTTTTCCAGCATCTGACCCTTGCGGTAAACCACGTCGCCCGGTTGGTTGAACTTGAAGCAATTGTGGATGATCAGCCGGAAGTCCGAGATGGCCTCGTCCACATATCTGTAGTAATTGTTCTGAACCCTTTTCAGGATGGTGCCCACATCCATGGGGCGATCGATAACCGTGTAGTAAGTGGGCACTTTCAGTGCCTGCGTATCCACGGGCTCCATGAAGTCCAGGGCAAACTTCTTCTTGCGAATCTCGTCCAGTAAGTGCTTCTTGAAGTAGTGCATCTTATTGGTGTACTGACCTGCTTTTCCGGGCTGGGGCATAAACTCCGGTTGGACGCGGTTAGGCAGCTTCAGTTTCACGGAAAGAGACTTGTGAAAGGTCTGCCGATTAGAGGATTTCAAGGGTTCCTGGAAAACTTTGCATTGTACTCACCATTCTTCCAAATTATCCTACTTTCCGATCAACAAAACACACGTTTTTCGTTACTTATTGTGATCACCTTTATAAATTACTTCTTCATCGATGAATCCTCGAATTCGGTCCGGAAAAAGATTAAAATTGCGACAAAACTTTTGCTTGTATTTTTTGGGCACAATTTTTGTGCTGTAAAAAAATGCATTCCCCTTCCTGTCTGTCATGCTGTCAGCCACATAAACGCACTGCCTACTGCCATTTAACCAACACTGCGGAAAAGTGTTGGGAGCTTTTCGAGGGGTTTGCCACTGAATTAGGGATAACAGAAAATAAAGACCAAAAAAGTACATCTTTTTTTATATAAATGTAGTTTTATTTACTTGCACTGCGACCTTGCAAACTCTCATCTCCTTAGTGTTCTATTTATAGGCTGGATAATGGACCAAATTGGATATTGGAAGCTACCGAAACTAAAGCAAACAATGGCACATCAAAGCAAGTAGGACAAACAACCACCCACCCATTCCACCCCCCACCTGACAGCGCCCACCCACCAAATATTTATAATATTTTGCACCACTTCACAGGCTTTCAGCTTGTTACCCCGCCTCCTCGGAAAATGTGGCAATGGGACATAAAAACTGCTTTTTGCAATTTACATCAACATTTTTATCACCCCAACACCCACCGACACATCCACCACCGACAACCTTCAAGGAGTACGGCAACAACAACATGCTTTTCCTATTTGCATACATATGTAAGTGTGTCTCATAAATTCAGATATACGGACACGCCCACACCACCGCCCACTGCCACAGCAGCCTCTTGCGTCTTTTTGCGCACTTAATTACACACGCATACGCTTCATTCCACTTTGCGGTGCTGCTTCACCAGTCCAACCACCCAACCACCCATCCACCCATCCTCCCAACGGGGGACAGGCCTCCATTGCCATCTCCGAACCACCGCGGTGGGACAGGCCCACTACGGAAATAGAAACGGGGGCACACTCTGGAAAAATCGTACAAAATGGAGGTCATCACTGTAATCCCAATCAATAATGCAAATTAATAAGCTGAAACCAAAATAAATGAAAGTAATTTTTACAAAGTACATTAGGATGGTACTGCAATATTTTATTATCTTTATTAATTTAATGCAGTTTTTGCTTACCTTACCTTTTTTATTTATTTTATATTATTTAGTATCACATTGAACTATAAAATTTGTTTTATGCTTCTAGTTATAAAAATAGCTTATAATGTTTGATCATAATATGCATTGGTAAATCTAATTACTTGAATCCATACACTTAAACATTTCTTCTTCATAGGACATTTATTTTAAATTATTGAGTCTATAAATATTTGTCAAATTATTAAATACATAATTTATTAAGTCATATAACTCTTTTAGAAATGACCAATTGGAATGAAAGTATCTTGATATTTTGTTCAGCTTCAAAAAATAAAAAATTAGTTTTATCGGATTACATAAGATGAGTTTATCAATTAATCTCTTAGTTCTGATAATAATGCTCCTGTAATTATTAAACATCATTGGTTTTTCCGCCTTAAAGTGGACTTGGTACAGTCCTGCCATCGATATTCCATTTCCCTTTCTAAGGACTTCTCAGACTGCAAATTTGTTGCTCTTTAGGCCGGGGCACTTACAAAAAGGCAACTCACGCAATCGGGGGACGCAGGATGCCCGGGTATTGCAGGTCCTACCTGCACGGCCAAGGTGTCAATGCTGCCTTATCATCCCAGGACTCGACATCCCAGTCCCAGTCGACATCCCCGACCCCTGACCCCTCACCCCGGCCAGCGTCCACGTCCTTGTCCATTCTTTCGTTAATTTTATCTCTGACGGCGATTAATGCGAATAAATTTTATAGACGAAAATGTGCACTCGCATGTCCCGTCGCCGAGTTTTCCTTATTGTGTGTTTCTCCTGGACCTTTTCCCCCGCCTCCGGGCCGTGTTTTCCTTGGTTTTTCTCCGTTTTCCTCTTTTCCCCTGCCTTTGCCTTTGGCTAATGTTTTCTTTCTGACTCTTGTGGCCCATTGTGCGCCGTCTGTTTTGGAGTATGTGACTTTTGCTGTTTGTCTTCGGCACCTGCAGACCTGCAGTTGTTAATTGTTCGATCCCCGGTGCTTACGCGATCTTGCAGCTCTGCGGCTCTCGGGATGCCGATCCCTCGGCGATTCTCTATTTTATTTATTTTTTAGCAATTGCCGCTGACTCAGCATCCGAGGAGAGCGTGGAAACTCGGGGTACTTTTCCCCAACCCTCAATTAGGATAGGGCTCGGCATCGAAACAGGTCCAGGTACAGGCTGTCCAGAAGAGATACAAGATGATATAAACAGGTTTTCCATTTTCCGTACCCTCGTCGTGGTCGCGACACTTGTCCCGCTCACCGCTCCCCGCTCCCCAAATTCCTGCATTGTTTGCGATGTGTTAACCTTAAGCGATTTCTGACTTTGGCTGCCCTTCGGATCCCATTGTTGCGACCCTGACTTTTTTTCTTGATTTTGATTTTGATATAAAAAGTATTCCCTAACAATGGAATCCAATTTTTGTGGGAACGCCGCGAATCCTGGCCGAAGGACAAAGGCGATCGCCGATAGCGATCGCGGCCCAAACATGCAGGTCGTCTGGGATTCATTTATTTTCTCATGTTTTTCTTTTGGGTGGAAACGGCGCACCCACACACGCACTATTTATGGATTTCCGTTGAGAATGGCGGAAAAGCTAAGCGCTCACTCATTTTATTCGCGCCGCTCCCGAGATATGTGTAAACGAAATAGAACGGGAGTCAATGACCCGCCGCCGGAAAAGTGGGAAAGCCGAAAAACCAAAGACGACGACGCGATGTTGCAATTGCAATTCACCCATTTAGCTGGCTGCGCCCGCATCTTGGTCAATAAAGGGAATTGATTGAGAAATTGTGAAAATAAATTGGAAATGCAAAAGAGAAGGGGGAAGCGTGCGGCGTGAGTGGTGAAAGTCCAACAATTAAATGGCAAACAAATTTCCGCCAATTATTTGACATTAATTATGATCCATCAGGGGATGAGGGTCAGCGGGCAGGCGGTAGAGAATCTCAAACGAAGGAAACTCCTTGGAGCTCCTGGCTGCAAAAAGGGTTGTTTACCTCTTCGAAAAGCCATGCTGGTGCTATCAGATCACCCATGAATCTCAATCAGCGAAGCGTTCGGTTATGGCGGTTTGCATTTAGCCGCTTTCCCAGGCGTTACTAAAAAATCGAAGTTTCAGCTCGATTATCTTGTACACAGGAAATTATTTTCTTAGCAAATTATATTGACATTTCAGACATTCAATACTTTTAAAACCGAATACTGTGCAATTTTCAGTGAATAATTTAAAATATTTTTGACTTAGCATTTTTTAATTTTATCAGCAAAACAATTTAGGAAAACAATAAAAATTCTTCAAAGTATTTTTTTTAATTTAAAAAATATTTATACAATGCCATAGAAAATTGATTAAAATTTTGTAAGATTAAATTTGAAAGCAATTTAAACAACTGGTCATATGAATTTGGTTCTGTGCGATATATGCTTTGGTGTGTAAATCTGTCAAGCGTTTCTTTCGGGCCCACGGAAAATGCCTCAAGAGTCATTGACTTTGAGGCACCAAAACGCATCTGCATGCGGTGCAATGGCCGATGACGCTGACGGCCCAAAACGCCAATCGACCAAGACGCTGCCCCGCCCTCCAACCACCACCCCGCCCCTTTTCCAACCAATTAAGCCATGAGAAGCTGCCCAAACTGCAATCAAAGAAGGCTGGAGGAAAGCAAAAACCTCAAAATGAAACATTTTTCTCGAGGCCCGTGTCCGAGCCCGAAAAACGCATTACGCGATGAGGAAAATCGGGTTTAGAGCTGTTGGCCGGTCTACCTGTGCAGGTTTTTGGCCCCACGACTACAAAAAAAAAAAGAGGCCGCAAAAAACCAACAGCAACAACAAAAAACGATCAACGCAGTCGGGCGAGAGTCGTGAAAATGGTTTTCTTGGCCCAGCATCACATATCACATCAACCGAAAGTCAGTCCCGCCCGACCAGATTCCATATCGCTGGGGCCGGGGATTACACACATTGTGCATTTGCCGAGTATAACTATAAGTTTAAGGCCTGACCTCGGCGCGAACCCTTTCCCCACCTCCTTCGATTGATTTCATGCACTTTGAAAAATATTAGAGAACAAGAAATGCTAACTAAAAGGAACTAGAGAAATTATTATCCAAGTACTAACGAGGATAATAACATTAATAATAAATTATAAGAATTATCTACAATTGTTTTTTGTTTCTACGTATTGAATAAATATTACACAGTTTAAGAATTTTGTAAAAAAAAAATAAAATAATTTTCTAATTAATTTCTTAGATTTTCCCAGTGCGTTTGTGACTTTTTATGGGTTGACAACTTGTAGGCGTGTTGAATCGTGGACGGGGGAAGACAGCGATTGGAAATGGTAATGGGACCGGGATTGGGATCGGGATCGGCATCGAGATGGAGGAGGGGAATAAAAGTCGGGATTGGGATGCACATTTCAAATGTGCAGCGATCTGCAGCGGCTGATAAAGTAAGAGTCTGGCCCGAACCTGTTTTATGGCCAAAAAAACGATCGAAAAACGAACGAACAAAACGACAAAATGAAATGCATAAACGTAAATCTCGCAGCAGGTAGTCCCCGGTTGGCCAAGATGGAGGTGGAGATGGAGATGGGATGGAGATCTTTTGGCTGGACCTGCAACATTGCGCTTGATGATGACTTTTCGGTCTCGCCGGCGACAATAAATTTCTCAATTTTCCTGTGCTCCAGATTGCTGCTCCTGATTGTCCTGTCTGCACATTTTACGCACTCCTTAAGAAACACAACTGCGCACTTGCCAGGTGCATAAAATGGGGTGAATGGATAATCAGCCGAGGGATGGGGGTTTAGCGTAAAGGTATGAGTCTCGATTTCTGCGTGGGTGATTTTCTCGATTTCCCAGGCCCAAGAAAGGGTTGCCACAATGATTGATCTCGAGAGATGGATGCACTTGCGTGGAAAATCAAATATTTGCATCACTTTTCCCTGAGCACAGATAATAATTCCCAGTTTAATCTGCGGTTGCGAGTGTGTGAAAATAGTTTTCGCCAGCACCAGCAGAATGCTGATTTTCCAATTGAGTTTTCCGCTTTTTACTTGCCAATTGGCAGAGCTGCGGGTCAAAGGTTGCTTGCTGCTCCAGGAAAGGCAAGACAATTGCCAAAAGCGGGTGCTGATTGTGATTTTTTTGTGCAGTGCCAGCGATAAGGAAATTTTGTCCCCTCCCAAGTGAATAATGTTTGGTTTTGCTCCCCTTGGGCGAATGTGTGTATCCGCTGTCCAAAAAGTACAAAATACACAACAAAGTGCACCCAAATAGTTATCGCAAACAAGCGGAGCCGGAAAAAATGCGTAGACAGCACCGAAAAAGTTCATTGACTTTCGCATACAGAAACAACAACAGCACGCATCGTTTTAGTGCGTTTATTGCTGCACTGAAAGAAAATCTTAACGATTTGGACCATTTTTAACAAGACTGGTACTACAAATTTATATTATTTGGAATAACTTCCTTAAATAGTTCCTTTGTTAAGTATTGGAATTTGTTAAACTTAAGATGTTTCAATCAAATACGTAAAAAATAATTTAAAAGGAACTGAAAAAAACTATTTTTTAAGCTTTAAGAAATGAATATAAGATTTGATTTAAATTTTTTATTATATTCTGATTTACAATTGTAAAAGTTTCATAAAAAGTATATTAAGACCTACACGTATTTAGAAAATAAAAGGTATACATATATAAAAAAAGCTAATTAGATTTTGGCATAATAAAAACCGAATGCTGTGACAAAAACAATGTGACATCTATTAAATAGATATTCCAAATTTTATAGATATTATACTTAGGAAGATACAAATTTTTCAAGTGTGCTGTTTTTGAACAGAAATAAATATGGCGGCCCCAACTCAGCGTGTGCACAAAAGAGCAAACTCCAAAGAGTGCACACAAAAAATTACATTAAAGTGAAAATGAGCGATAACAAAGCAAACAAACGCAGCTACAGATACAGACATACATACACACAGACACAAACACCAACACAGTCGCATCGCAGCGCCACCAGCAGCAGAAAAAAACAAGAACAGCAACTCCCGGCCTCTGATTCCCCCCTCTAAAGCCCCATATCCACCAAAACCATCGACCATTCGATAAAACTGCACGGCCAACGTAGCCATATTTATAAAGAAAAAAACAACCCATATACACACATAAATATATTCGTATTCGCCTTAGCACGATCGCAAGAGTGGGATGGCCTGCTCTTCCCATCTGATGGAAGTGCATTTTGTATAACACTCGCCTGGTTTAGTGGGGTTTGGGGATTTCCCCTTCTTCAAAGCTCCTACACATATATATATTTTTTCTCGAGTTGATCCTATAAGTGTGCTATACTAAATTTAATTCACAATCCTCCTTCTTCGTCGAATAACGCATATCATTGCATACTCTTAGGCTCTTGGTAAAAATAATTTATAGCTATTTTTTTAGCTAGTTGGTAAAATTTACAGTGCCAACTCCTTAGTCCTTTACTGAACTTTTTTTCCTTCCTTGTTTAATTGTAGAATGAAGCCTGATCAGTGGCGGATTTGTGGGGGCTCAGAACTACATTTTTGTCACCACATTTACCCCCCTTGAAAAACCTCCGTTGGATTCGCGGAGTGCCCTGATTAAAGTAGTTGTAGTGATTTTATTGTAAATAGAGAATGGAGTAACAATTTGAATGATCGGAAAACACACATTTGGGTCTTTAGATAACTGCAGACGATAATTTCTATATAATTTTGCAAAAACTGTATTATCAACTCAATAATTTTCGTATAATTAAATAGTCAAAAATAATTTAGAAATATCCATATTAAAATATGATTATTGATCATGCAACCATGGCCAAAATTAAAATTTGAATAACTATTCGATTTAAAATTAATCACAAAAGTCACAAGCCAGTCATATTTTTCCGCAGTCTCCTATTGTGGCTCAACTGTACCAACCATGCATATTAAAGTTACTCTTCTCGTTGTCTTTGTGGCCACTGCTTTTCTAGTTTGCAGTGTAAGTGGACAGTTTTTGATTTTGCACAAATATTAAATCAAAAGTATACCAATTTTCAGGAGGCACCCTATATTAAACTGACCAACGTTATCTGTGAATCACTTAACAAAACTTGGGTGGCTTTTCATTATTGTCGACTGAAAGCTATTTCCCGAAACAAAACTACCGGCAATATAAATGCAACATTTTTTCACCCGGCCAAAAATGTGCATCTCAGGTTACAAATGGTGAAGAAGGCCAGTGGCTATAAGCCATTTCTGTTTGATATAACCATCGATGCCTGTCTATTTTTGCGTAGACGACATAATCCCGTCATCAAGATGTTTTATGCGTTTATAAAGGATAAATCCACCCTGAATCATACATGTCCTTATTCGGTGAGGTCGCCTATTTATTTCTTTGATGCCTGCTTTTGAAACATTTTTATATTTTTAGGGCTTGCAGGTGGTAAGCGATTATCATCACGCTGTATTTCCAGTACCATTACCAACCGGGGAATATGGAGTGTTGCTAGATTTTATATTCGATGGTAGGAAGCAGTTCCACGTAAATGTTTACTTTACCTTTGTAGAGGACTTTTGAATGAAAGTTTATGTAAAAAATAAGTTGCTTCATAGAAGTTTCGCCTTTACAACGCGAATAATTCTGATTGCAATTTTGTATCAATCGGCTAAAATGATCCTAACGTATTTTTATTGGGAGTCATAAATAAAAGCTTGGTTTACGAGTCGTTGTGTTAATAGCACCTTCATTACTACTCCTCCAGAAGCTTAGGAGAGTCACTGGGAGTGATTTCCATTAATACACAAATTTCTTAAATAAAGAAAACTCATTCTACCACAAACATCATACATATATGTATACCGGTTGCTCAGCCAATTTAACTTATTTGCAAGATCACCGCGATCATACAGACAGACAGTCGGACATATCATGGATATATATACTTTATGCGGTCAAAACATCGGAATTCAGAGATTAGTTTAACTTTTCCAAACGTCAATATATTCCTTTTATGATTTTAGTTTTCGCTTGCATGGCAACACTTTCGATTTAAAAAATTTTTAAATTGGGCTCGAGGCAATTAATAACTTGTGTTTGGACAAATAAAGGTGATATAAATTATCCTAGCTTTAAATTTTTAAAGGGGCATTAGGTACTAAACAATTTTCATAGATGGGAAGAAGTCGTAGATGAAATGTTTTTGTTCTCGATCTTGTTCAGTAGTTATGTAATAAGTATGCATCAAAAATGTGTTCTGAAAACACCTCACAACCAAATCCCGGGTCCGGTAGAGGTAGTAACCAAAGTAAATATTGTAAAATTAATTTGAACACAAATCAGAAAGCTGCATTTTTCTAACCGAATTGTCAAGGTATTTATTTTTATGTAGGTGTAGGTGTGGTTAGTAATTTCATGAAAATTATAATTTTAATGATATAAACACGGTCATTTTCATGTTTAGAGAACTCCAGTCAAAAACAAGAGACAACGCTATAGTCGGGTGCCCCGACTATCAGATACCCGTTACTCAGCTGAAGGGAGTGCGAAGGAGATGGAGAAAAACTTTGATCCGCCGTAACTTTTTAACGAATGGTCCGATTAAAAAAATTTCTTCTACATTTCGATAGGTATTGATAAACACAATAACACTGCATTTTTACTTTTCCAAAATATTGAAATTTTTAAAATCGTATATTAGCGATTGTGGGCGTTAGAGGGGGCGTGGCACCGTTTTGAAACAAACTTGCGCTGTGTAGGAACGCCTAGAATCTGCATGCAAAATGTCAATCTTCTAGCTTTTATAGTTTCCGAGATCTCAGCGTTCATACAGACAGACAGACGGACAGACAGACGGACAGACAGACGGACAGACAGACGGACAGACAGACGGACAGACGGACATGGCTAGATCGACTCGGCTAGTGATCCTTATCAAGAATATATATAGTTTATAGGGTCGGAAACGCTTCCTTCTACCTGTTACATACTTTTGCCGATCTAATATACCCTTTACTCTACGGTAACGTATAATAATGATATTATTTTGCAAAAACTAAATAATATTTGTATAATTAAAAAGTTAAAAATATTTCATAAGTATCTATATTAAAATATGGTTATGCAACCATGGCTAAAATTATTTAAAATTGATCACAAAGGTCACAAACAAGTCAATTTTGTTCGCAGTAGGAGACTGCTGTCGTCTGGTGTCTCAGCAATGCATATCAAGATTACTCTTCTCGCAGTCTTTGTGGCAAGTGCATTTCTAGTTTTCAGTGTAAGTGTCTTTACGTTTTACATAAATCAAAAGTAAACCAATTTTCAGGAGGCACCCTATGTTAAACTGACAAACGTTGTCTGTGAATCACTCAACAAATCTTGGGTGATTTTTCATCATTGTCGACTAAAGGCAATTTCCCGAAACAAAACTAGCGCTAATATAAATGCAACATTTTTACATCCGGCCAAAATTGTGCATCTCAGATTACAAATGGTGAAGAAGGCCAGTGGCTACAAGCCATTTCTGTTTGATATAACCATCGATGCCTGTTTATTTTTGCGTAGACGACATAATCCCGTCATCAAGATGTTTTATGTTTTCATAAAAGATAAATCCACACTGAATCATACCTGTCCTTATGCGGTAAGATCGCTTATCTCTTTCTTTGATACCTGTGCTTAAAGCATTTTTACATTTTTAGGGCTTGCAGGTGGTAAGCGATTATCATACAGCAGTATTTCCTGTACCATTACCGACAGGAGACTACGGAGTGTTATTAGATTTTATATTTGATAATAAGAAGCAGTTCCACGTAAATTTTTATTTTGCCTTTGTGGAGGACTTTTTTTAAAAAAACTGTACCTACAAATTTTTGAAATTCATAGATGTTTCCTTTAATCCCGGCGAATAATAGCAATTTAATAACAATCACGGTAAGTCCGAGGTTCACTCCCCAGCGAGTGCAAGTGTGTTGAAATGCTAAAAATTTTGGAGTTATTTATAACCAACTATGAATGACCTCGGGTTCAGCAAAAATCCTCGCATTTAATATTTGTTTCCCTCTTATTTTTGTTTTTAAACTGATAACACTTTGTTCTTGATTTAATAAAATTGTTCCTGTTTTTAAACGTTCATACTTGTGTGAAAATTTTAAGACTCTTTATTGTATTATAATACTGCATACACCAACCTAATAATCTGCTTAAGCAACATTACTTCGTCAACTTCATAATTAAAGGGGATATTAATTATAATAGAGAGTTTTCCCTTAATCAGCCAACTTATTCCAATCGGTAATTTTAATGCTTAAAATCGTTTTAGGTACTAAATAATTTTAAAACGATGGGAAAGATAAATATAATTTCGAAATTTCTATCTAAATGAATCTTTTTTGACGCCATAACCAAAATTGTATTTTAAGTGTCTACTTTTTTTACTAACGAGCAAAAACGGTCAGTACTTAATATCAGTAATTACTCTAACGCCCACAATCGCCTTAAGCGACCTTAAAATAAGCCTGGCACCCAAATCATTACAGATTTTGTAAAAGTGTATAAGCAGGGGTGTTGTGTTTAGTAACACCTACAAAAATGTAGAAACAAATTTTTAAATTGGACCACTCACTAAAAGTAAAAAGCCAACGACTAGCAAACGCTAGATGGCACCAATTCAAGCGACTGCTTTCTTTGCTAATTGCATATCTCCTTCTCTCTCGCACTAACTTAGCTTAGTAACGGGTATCTAATAGTCGAGGTACTCGACTGTATTCACAAAAGTCATATTAAGGTTATAATTAAAAAGCTAAAAATATTTTTGAAGTATCCATATTAAAATACGGTCATGTAACGATGGCAGAAATTAAATTTTAATGACTATTCAATTTAAAATGGATCACAAAAGTCAAAAAAAAAATATTTGTTGACAGTCTTTTATTGTTGCTCAGGTGTGTCAGCCATGCATATTAAAGTCACTCTTCTCGGAGTCTTTGTGACCACTGCTTTTCTAGTTTGCAGTGTAGGTTGAAGTTTTCCGGCTTTTGCATAAATATTTAACCAAAAGCACACCAATTTTCAGGAGGCACCCTATATTAAACTGACCAACGCTGTTTGTGAATCACTCAACAAATCTTGGGTAGTTTTTCATTATTGTCGACTGAAAGCTATTTCCCGAAACAAAACTACCGGTAATTTAAATGCAACATTTTTACATCCGGCCAATAATGTGCATCTAAGATTACAAATGGTGAAGAAGGCCAGTGGCTATAAGCCATTTCTGTTTGATATAACCATCGATGCCTGTCTATTTTTGCGTAGACGACATAATCCCGTCATTAAGATGTTTTATTCGTTTATAAAGGATAAATCCACCCTGAATCATACATGTCCTTACTCGGTGAGATCTCCCAATTATGCCTTTGATACCTGTTTTGGAACCATTTGTATACTTTTAGGGCTTGCAGGTGGTAAGCGATTATCACCACGCTGTATTTCCTGTACCATTACCAACCGGGGAATACGGAGTCTTACTGGATTTTATATTCGATGGTAGGAAGCAGTTCCACGTAAATGTTTATTTTACCTTTGTAGAGGACTTCTGAACTACGCAGTGTTACTAGATTTTATATTCGATGTTAAATAGCAATTCCTCGTTAATATTTATTTTGAACCAAAATTTCTAATAAAATAATTGTCAATTAATATGTATATGCCTCATAGAAGTTATAACTTATCACATTTTTATTTGCATCGGTTAATACGACTGGTCGACGTAACAGACCTATTCGAATGAATTTTGTTATCTTTAGTTATAAAATAAAACGACTTGCCTTGAATGAAAATTGTTTCAATAGTTCGAAAACTTTATCGTAATTTTATTTGCAAAATACATATAGGGTGTTAATTGATTAAAATTTTAAAAATAAAAAAAAACAATTTCTTGCAAATAGTTTTCAAAAGTTAGGTTTAAAATTCCAACAACATTTCTATGCAAAATAGTTTTCAAAGTAGGCCTTTAAAACTTTTTGTATAGAAATTGTTGTTGGAATTGATTTACACTTTTACACTTTACAAAGTTTGCAACGCAATTGAACACCCTAATAATATTTGCATTATCGAGTTGAATGTTCATGCTGGCAAAACCAAAATAAAAATTGAATTACCAAATCTATCTACTAATCACCATTACTACAAATAATTATTATAATCGATATTTATTCGCAGTCTCTTATTGTTAATTGGACCTAACAGTCACGCATTTAAGGATTTCGATTTAAGTATTTCTAGTTTAACTAGTTTTAATAACTATTCAATATCAAATTGATTACGAAAGTGACAAACAAGTATTATTTTTTAGCAGTCCTCTATGGCTGATCAGGTATATCAGCCATGCATGTTAAGGTTACTCTTGTCGGAGCTTTTATTGCAATGACTATCCTGGTTTGCAGTGTAAGTGTGCGATTTTCGTTTTTGGACAAATACTTAAGTAAAAGTATCCAATTTTCAGGAGGCACCCTTTCTTAAAATGACCAACGTTGTCTGTGAATCACTCAACAAATCTTGGGTAATTTTTCATTATTGCCGACTAAAAGCCATTTCCCGAAACAAAACTAGCGCTAATATAAATGCAACATTTTTACATCCGGCTAATAATGTGCATCTAAGATTACAAATGGTGAAGAAGGCCAGTGGCTATAAGCCATTTCTGTTTGATATAACCATCGATGCCTGTTTATTTTTGCGTAGACGACATAATCCCGTCATCAAGATGTTTTATTCGTTTATAAAGGATAAATCCACACTGAATCACACCTGTCCTTATGCCGTAAGATGTATTATTTATTATGTTTGATAACAGAGTTTTAACCATTTATATATTTTTAGGGTTTGCAGGTGGTAAGCGATTATCATCACGCTGTATTTCCTGTTCCATTACCAACCGGGGAATACGGAGTGTTACTAGACTTTATATTCGATGGTAGGAAACAGTTCCACGTAAATGTTTATTTCAACTTTGTAGAGGACTTCTGACCGTAAATTCACACTAAAGTCGATTAATACCGCAAGTAATCCTAATCGCAAATAAAATCAATAAGTTTAAATGAGTTAAAAGTTTCTTTGTTAGTATTTATGCCAACTGTGTGAACTGGTGTAAATATAGGTTTAAATTATAAAAATAGCTTAACCGATTAAAGAACATGATTTACAATAAATCTGTTAGCAATTATTTCAAGCAAGTATTGTTACCGAATCAAATTTTATTCAAATAATATTTGTATATAAAACTAAAATAAATATGTTAAACAAGACTGGTTAAACGTTTTAATATACTTTTAAATGACAATTTATGATTTAACAAAATAAGGTACCTCAAAAATAGCTTTGTTGGGTTGTCAAGATCCATTCAAATATGCACGAATAAAGTTTAAATATAAAAAGATGATTTCCATGATTTTTGAAAAGGGGGAGTAAAGATAATTTTGTTTATATTTTGGTTTTATTGTACATTCACACTTGTCTGCCGAGCCTTCGACACTTATAATGATCATAAAAGATTCTTAATAATCTATATATTTAACAAATTCAAGTTTTGGAAGCCTACAACTCCTCCTTTTCGGGCGAAGCCTTGGTGACCTTGTGAACTCTGAAGGCGTCCAGAATATTGAGCTTCCGCAGCAGCTCCTCCTTCTTGCCCTGCGTGACCTTGCCGGCCTTGAGGCGCAAAAGGCGCTTGGTCTCCTCCTCCAGGAACCCGTATCCCTGCTCATGGATCTTCCGCATATAGATCAGATAGGCCTTGCCGCTCTGCTGCACCTCGGGATTTGTCAACTGCTCCTGCTTGGCCTGCAGCTTCTCCATGAGTGCTAGTTGCTCTGCATCGGGGATGTTGGCGTAGTTCTTCAGCGCATCATTGAACTCCTTGATACAGCCATCGCGACCGATATATAGAGGTGTGTTGGCACTGATAAAGGCCTTTAAGTTGTCCAGAGTGACGTCCGTGTGGCTGGGCAGCTGGATGTACTCCTCGACATTCCCCTTGAACAAGAAGATGGCCGGGAAATTCTTGTCGTCGACTTTAAACCGGTCGCCAAGAGCCTGGAAACACATAGTAAGTTATTTATATAAGGCATACTTTTAAACCGAAGCACAAATGGGGTCTAAAAGTCTATAAGCCCGTTTGTGGACAATTTAAAAACGTTCGTTCATACAATTTTACGCTATTGTTCTTGAGTGGATGTCATAAGTTCAAAGCTAGTCATTTTTAGGAACAATAAACCCGCATTTGAATAATGATGAATGTTCTTAAGTTAGTTCGTTTTATTTTTTTAGGGTGTAAGGTATATGAAGTATAACTCAGAATGCTTAAACTCTAAGCTATTTCTTTTAGAGCTCACCTTGTTCTCCAGTTCTCCGTAGTCCTTAATGCCAACGGTGGCTATTAGTAGGTCCGTAGTTGCTTTGTGGGCGGATTTCGAGAAGGCGGCAAAGGCCTCATGCTTCTCGCCGTACGGAAATGCAATGTCGAATTTAACAATTGAGAAGGGAAACCGCTCCACCGTCTTCTGGAAATTGAGCTCATCCAGATCCACGCAGCCAGTACAGGATATGGCCCAGGTGGTCGGAATGGAGTAGAAAGCGGCCAGCAGCAGAGTCACCAAAATCCGCATCATCTTCGTGGCAAAAACAGAGACTTCTAAACTTGACCTTACTCTTGCCGATCGTCAGCAAGAACTGGCTGGAAATCAAGAGAGGAGCAGAGAAGTTGAGAAGTGTTTTTCTCCCGGCTTCTGGCCAACTTAACGCTTCGCTCAGCTGAATTGTTTGGTCGCCCCAGCCAACTCACTCACCTGGGCTCTCCGAAACTCCAAACTCTGAAATTCTCGGGTTCTCGATCGAGTTGAATGACACGTCAGTGAAGCGGCAGGTCTCTCTCACTCAAAAACCGGCTATTCTGTTGGCCAGCTCTTGTTGTTAGTTCAGCTGATTCGGCAATGGGACTATTGTAACGCTCGTAGGGAGATTTATTATGTAATGTCTCGTATGAGATGTGTGCTCGTCGCTTTTGACAGCTGCCTTTAAATCTAGAAATAATTGCCATACCAATTTTAGAGAAAACATTGATGCCCAACTGATAGAAAACTCATTTCGGCCAAAGTGATCATTTGGCCAATAGAGCGTGCCACATGAAGCCGGGCAATTAGGACATGTTCACAAAATGACAGAGCAAGTGAAGCCCACAGGAAGTGGCAATTTGCAACTGTACAAGAGTCAATTTGGGAACTTCGAAGGGGGAATACCCTGTGAAGAGTTACTCATCTTTCTGGATAGCTATCATTGCTGTACAATCGTAATATATAAATGATTTACATGAGATTTCATAAGTATTTTAATAATTTGGTATTTTTCAAAACTTACCCAAAGTAGTTGTTTTAAATTTGTATTTTGCCTAAATAATAGTTAATAAAAAATTAACAGTTCTTTTTTCAAGAAATGATAAATAATTGAAAATTTGAAATACTAAAACATCTTTATGCCAAAATGGTTCACCAGCAGATCGACTCTACTCAAGGGGGTTGGAATATATGAAAACACCTGCCAGTGCACTGCAGTAGATCGAAAAACTAACCCCGTTTGCCATAATTTTCATTAGCCAGAAATTGAAATTTTCCCGGCACTAGCCCCCACCCCCAACCTCCTGCCCCTTTTGTGCTGGTTAATTGACATTTTCGGCAATTGTCAATTAATAATTCATGTGTGCGGCACACATGTTGGCCACCTCGGCTACCACCTTCCACCTCCCACCTCCCGATGGCCACTGCCCCGCCCCCTGGCGGCCAAAATAGTTGGTTTAGTTTTTCCATTTGCGGTTTCGTTTGTCCACTCTACGGAAAATTGAACATCACGGCACGCAATTCGGGAGGGAGAGACGGAAAAGCGTTGCGAGCTTCACACGATCGATACGACCGACTGGTAAATTATCTTTTCTGATGGCTGGGCGTGTGCCCTTCCGATGGGTGGGTGGTGCGTCAGGTGCAAGGAAAACCGAGCTGGCAATGCGCAATTTCGGAAGGAATTACCCGTGGAAAGGGGCTGGGGGTAATGCCTGATGGAGATCCAGTAATGGGGCCCGACATGCGTGTGTCAATCGCACAAAGGCCCGAAATTACCGGATTGGCGGTTGGAGGTGCTCTATTTGTAATGCTGACCTCTTTAGCAGCGCAAAAAATGGAGTCCAAGTTCGGTGTGTATTTGGTTCATGGCGCACTTGTGTTTGCACTCCATTTATTATGCAACAGAGGACAAGCAATTTGCTAAGTACACCCCTCGGCTGGGAGGCCTTCAAAACAGGGGGCGTCCAATATTCCAACCCAACCTTCAATTAGCTGCCGTGACGAGCCTTTTATTTTTAACACATTGCCACCATGCGTCAGTAATATCCTTCGTCCTCATAAAACTATCATCATAATCACCAAATCTTCAACTTTAAAAATAAAAAAACCAGCTTATATTTAGACAAATCGCTGGAGTCTACCAGCTAAAGACCTCCAGTTTTTCCAGTGCCGGGATCCCACATACGAGGCATTAATAATATAAATCGAGCTGCTATTACGCTAGTTGGGGTGGTACAGTGGCACTAATAACACAATGGCCTTTACGCGAAACGACCCCTTGGCCTCCTCGGGGGGTTAGGGGAGGGGGACAATCGACATTAAAGTGATAAGCGCGCAAATTTCAGGACCTGGAACGACCGCAATCTTGGCGGGGAAATCAAACGATTGCGGCATTGTTTTTTATAGAATACATCTATTGGGTTTGGGACAACGGCCAAAGGACAAAGCTAATCGCCCACCGCTGGACAGGTGCTCCATTTAAATACCTGGTACTATGTAGCTTGTAAAGGGGTATGTTTGACTGGTTTGGCGATTTGAGTAAAATAAAAAAAACTAAAAAGTAATGACCAAATATAATACAGATTTTAAACTATAAATAATAACTTCTTTTTAAATAAGGCTCTAGTAAAAATATTTTAAACCAACTTCTCATAAATATATTACTTAAGACCCTACGAAAACCCTCTTACCTTTATTTACAGATAGGTAATATTCGACAGATATTGCTATAAACCAGGTTTTTTTCCAGGGTACCCAACCACAATCATGCTTTCGGGACAACCTTTATTTTTTGGCAGCCACAGTCTAATTATGTGGCAGTACAATGGAGGCGGACCATGAATTTTTCATGGCCCACGTATGCCAAGACATGCAATGTTGGAGCCAACTGGCCAACTGACAATTTGGATAGAAAATAGATGGAGTTCGGATCGAGGGAGGGGGTTCTCGACTACCCAACTTGCGTAAGAACCCCGGCAATTTCGAAGCATGGAAATTCCCCGGACTCGTTGATTGTAAACTTTTCATCGGGATCCCAGGCAGTTGTGAAGTTGAAGCTCATCAAATTTTTATGCCATGGCATAATTCCATAAATGGGCCATGGAATGACCCACCTGAAAACGGACATATGTTCCACCCCCAAAAAAAACACCCGAACAATAATTCGCATGCCCAAATCGAAACTGCCAAAGTCAAATCCACGGCTAAATGGCCAATTGACTGGGCCCATCATAATTGGTATTTATTGAAAATGCGTTTCGGTTAACCCGTTGAGTTCATAACCATAACCGAGAAGGGGTTAAGGGTGGACAGCCGTAGGCCTGGATACCGTGTTTATGGTTTTTCATTTGCATTTATTGCCATTTTGATACGTGTGGCTATCAGGCTCGGCAATTCGAGGCGTTTAGCGCAAATTTCTTTTCAATATTTGTGCACCCAATAAACCGAAATGGTCAGTTAGCCTTTTATTCGCTTTGGTCTTCCAATTTGATTGCAAATTTGTTTTTTCCACTTTTATGCCAACTGCGTGCTGGGAATTTGAGAGTATATACTTAATGGTTTAAATGGGCTTCGACGGGAAGTGATTTCCCACTAATCGAGAACGGTTTGTCCTGGCTAATTAATCACTCGAGTGCATTATTATGTGTCCTGCGCTAATTACGCTTTTTCAATATTTGTCTAAGGAACCGCGGGCCAAATCAAATAAATTCGTTTGCTTTCACTCGACATATTTCTCTGACAATCGACCTAATGGTAATTTCTTGAGCGATTGACCAGTTTACCTTTTCTAGGGGAAAATTCCATTAGCATGCGGCCTATTAATTAGCCAAAAAAGAATGTGTCTTAAGTGGAGGGAGTTGGTCGAAATGGTCATTTAGGTGGTTCGAACTCAGGGATTTAATTGACGCATGCAGAGATAACTGTACCTCCTAAGCGTTAATATCTATTTAGGAATTTTGTGTCACAGAAGACTAACCAGTCAATATGGACCTAAAAAGTTGTTAAAATTAAGCTGATAAAATATATCCTAAAGAAAACATTTTTAAATAAAATGTTCTGCATCAAATAATTTTTTTTCGCTGAAATGTAACTCTCTGGGACCTCGAGCTTTGGACACTTATAGATTAGGATCGGTTTTCTATCATTCTAAAGCCTTATCTCGACAGCTACTTCCCAAAGGATTTTCCGTAGGGGAAATGCTGGTATAACAGTTCACGAAGGATATTCAAAAGGCGCATGCGTTATCCCTGCTCCGAGTAAAAGGACTTCCAATGCGTCAGAATATTACACCCATCCTTTCCGAGGTTTGGGCATTTGTTTACAAACAAATGCAGAGCCAGCAAAAGGGTACGCTGCATTTCCCCAAAGCTCCCGCCCATGCAAATGTGCCAAATAATTACCTCAACTTGTTGCTTTCCCATTTTCCGGGGGGCAATTACTTAACGGAGTGGGTGGGCAGTGGGTGACGGTGCGGGACACGACGAGACAGACATGCAAATTGCAGTTTCATGAGCCGGAATTGGATTGCTCCCGCCTTTTGGGGCCGCACCGCCGCACAATTCGCATGACATTTCTAACATCCTTTTTCGCTTTGCCCGTTAACGCCCTCCTGGACTTTTTTTTTATAACATTTGAGCGATTTTAGTGCAAACGGTCATCAAATCTAATTGGCGACGTCGCGTCGCTAGTACCTGAAATTGCTGGTTCTGCACTTGATTTTTCGCACTGATTTCGATTCGAATGTCAGCTGGGGATTTGGGCATGGATCGATGCAACGGAGGGTTAATGTGCCGGCCGTACTCAGATATTCTATTATTTTTTCGCTGCAGCGAAGAACAACAAAAAACTAAAACTAAGGGCCAAAGTTGATGCAATAATTTGCCACAACTTTTCCGAGTGACCACAACAACATGCAATATGCAGCAGGTTCGTCAAAAAAACACCGCAAAAAAAGTTCTATCAAGATCATAATTTGAAAAGCTTAAACATAACGAACCCAAGGTTTGGGACATCATGAAACATTATTTAATATCCCCTAAAGAAATTCAAGACAGTAAGAGCTGAGCTGTGAGTTTTACTTTGGGTTTATTATCTCTTAAATAAAAACTATTTCCAAAACTGTGCTTTAAAATTTTAATAGTGGATTAAATACATTTTTATATAGAGGATTTATACATTTTTTTTTGTGTGCAGAACCGCAAACGTGCAACGAAATTTTCGCAAGAGGATTTCCCATCGCCGCGTTTTTAAAAATGCATGAGCCGACTGAGCTCAATGCGGTTATCGTGTCCCTCGGGGTGGATATATGTTCGTACCGCCAGTAGCAGCAGGGACATAGACATGCAGGTGGAAATTCCTGGCAGCCCCAGGTGAACTGACTGACGGACGGATTGAGCACGGCTTTTGGTTGGCATTTTATCGGCGGAGAGCGCGTTTTATATCTAAACTATGAATCAATGCATTAGTCAGTCACCTTGTACGCTCTACTTTAATTACGGCTTTTTACGCTGCACCTGAACCCCCCTTAGCGCCCTTCTCAAAAACCTGCCTTCAACACGATTTCTCTTCTATTTTAACCGCGAGTTGACATTTTTTTGCATGTTGGGCCGGCGAATTAAAAATTGCATACAAAAAATGGCAGCAAAAAAGATTGGATCATAACTCGACTTTGGAATACCGGCTGATAGAATTTTTTATTTTTGTTGGGTAAAGAACTTTGGATATTATTAACTCGACCGTTAAATGTTATGAGTATCTCCAAAAATATTATTATTTCTATTTAGGGTTGGCTAAACAAGCTATTTACTATTATTACCTAACATAAATTAAAATCGAAATAAATATAAACGGTAAGTACCTACTGTTTGTGTATAATATTTACGTGAATTTAAGCATTGTTTTGTTGACATTTTATTTTATGGCTAATTATGAAGGGGAGACTCAAAAAAGTTAATAATTGATAATATTTGTTTACAAAATCTGAATGTAAAATGTATTTATTTTTTATCATGTTTGTTCGTATATACGTTCAAATTCAATTACCAAATTCGCTACAGCTTAAAACGGAATTTGCCTTAAATGCCATTAACAACTCCAGTAATATTTTAGTATACCCTTGTCCTTTACTCGTACAGGGTGTAAATAGCGAAATGAAATTCCTGGCACAGAACGTAATATTATTAGCGGGGAGCCTTTCCGACCGCCTCTACTTGATTTCGAGCAACTCTGCGCCATAAATATTGCATTACAATCGTTTTACCCCCTTTTCAGCTCGAACTGTGGAGTTGTCGGGGCCTCAGAGGTTCCACCTCCATATATTCCCATCCCCCTGGGGACTGCAATTGCGAATTGGATTTCATGTTAATGCAGGGTCCTTATCGCCGGTCATATGCTTGGACGGGCAGCAATGGGTTCATTTGTGTTCTATTCGGCCGGTAATTTCACTTAATTGCGATGACGTTGTGTGCAAAAAGCCACTGGGAATGGGAGTGGTTTGACCCCGGTTGATTGCTGATTCCTATCGCCTTCGAGCGACGGTGTACGGTCCATCAAATATTCAGCGGTCCGTGGCTTATTGAAAACGAATGGCAATTTCAGCAAGTGCGAATGCCAGGGGAGCCTTCCAGAAAACCACTTAATCGTTTTTTGTGTGTACATTTAGGTTTTATTCTTGTATTTGAATGCAATCGTGGTTTACAATATATAGAGTTTTCATTTCAACGTTGCCTTGCACATTTAATATATAATATACGTAATAAAAAGTAATTATAAACAACAGTTGTAATAAAAATAATAAACATGTGGATGCATTTTTCGTAGACGGTAGCGGTAACGGATACTTGGGAGTCGATCTCTTTCTTATCGTTATGTCATGTGGGTCATCAGCTCGAGGTCATGTATATAATATATATCGATAAGGGTTGTATAAAAGGTGTACTGCAAGTGCTGCGTATGCGTGGGCTGGTGTTCATGTATGTGAGTGTGTGCTGGTTTACTTAGAAAATCCTCAGAAGTGTTTAGAAATAGTTATAAAATCTACTGCGTTTGCTGTTGAATTTCGATCTTCTCGACCGTCATGTCCGGATTCATGGCCGTCGCTTCCTGAAATCGAGAGGAAACAAAAGGGTTATAAGTATCTTTAACTCTTTAAATTGGAGATTTATCACTCACTTGTATTGCCTCGGCCAAAGCCTTGTCATGATCGATCGGATCTCCGTCGGACTGAATGGTTATCTTCTGCTCCACTCGGGTCTCCACAATGCCATCGCGTTCGGTTTTGTACTGTGGATTGGGTAGGGAATGAATTAACTCAAGGTTATCTTACGGTTAGCAGAACCTGAACCCATTCGAACAAGGGACTATGCATGGAATTTACAGTGTGGTGCATACGATCACAGGAAATATCTTTCGGATAGAGAAGGCCTACCTCTGGCTACTTACTCATCGGGCCCGTCGAAAGGGATCAGTTGGGTTAGTTCCTTTTACTTACGGTTATGGTTTCCACAGTGCGGGTTTTGCTGCTCACGGTTTGGGTGGAGATGATTTCGCCATGTCCGGAGTAGCCGGGGGTGTCCTCGCCCAGCACCACTCGGGTGCTCTCCACATGGGGTCCAGTGGTGGCGGAGGTCGTGTACAGCGGAGATTTCTGGTTAAGAGCCAAGATTAGGTTAGGGTTAGAATGGAACTTTTTGGGATAAGCTATTGGGGGCGTTAAAAAGGATTGCTCGTTGCAAAGGTGACATGCCAAGACCCACCTGGTTATCTGTGCGCACCACACTGGCACCATCGTAGGGTCCGTCGATGGGCGTGCCCGAGTCGCCAGAGCTGGTCGAGGAAACGCTATCCCGCCTCTGATACTACACAACACACAACGTAACGTAACGAAACACATCGAAATGATAAGAATAAGAAATCAAATCATGCAAAAGGAGCAAGTGCAGCCATGCGATCTTACCTGGTCCCCACTGGTCACCGTCGCCGTCGTCTTCACCTCCTGGGTGACGACGCGCTGCTGCTGCTTGTTGGGATCGTGGGTGCGGGTGGTGGCCACCGTCTTCTCTTCCAGCTGCTCCGTCTTGGCGTTCTTGCCCAGATCCTCGTGCGTGGTGGCGGTGCGGGTGGTGACAGCGGTGGCCGTGACATAGGCGCCACTCAGGTCGGTGGGTGTAGCATCAGCCTAGGTGGATTGGAGTGGCAAGTGAGTGGTTGGTGGGTTAGTGCGTACGGCAAAGAACGAGCAACAGTTAACGGAATACTTAGAACGACAACACTTAGAGGCGGAAGTTAGGCAAAGGCGGAGATAAAGAAGTACGACATTGGAAAGCGAAGCGCAAAAGATAGGAAAGTACAGGTTTTCCGGTTCTTAGGTTCCCAGAATTCGATCGAATTTGATTTACTGGCTTTGAAGTAATATTACGATACTAATTTTATTATATGACAAAAAAAGTGAATATTGACCGATACGAAAACTTGACTTTACTATGCACAAGAGAAAAAATTTGATTGCGTTTTTAACGAATGGCCGATTTGAAAATGTCCTATACTTTGGATAGTTACGTAACTATACAAAATAGTTACATGTATTTGGGGTATGTCTTTGCTAATTGTGTGTACTTGTTGTTGTGAAAGTGACTATTTTTGTGGTTGGGAACTGTTTGACAATTAAAATGGTTAAGTTTACCAAGTTATTTTTTTTTTGTCTGAGAAAGAATAAACTATGAATTGGCGTAGAATAAATCTTTAGTCTACATTTATGATAAAATATTCCAAATTGATTAAAAGGATACAAAAATAGTGAGCCCTAATAACTCAAATCGAATTCGATCAAAACCTCTTAAGAGAGAATCCCGGTTCACCGATGATCGGCACACTTCCTTGCTAACCTTGTGTTCCTGCGTGGAGTAGGTGACCTCGCCCGTGCCCAGGTTGCGCACCTCCTCCTCCACGTTGTGGGTCACGCCATCGTTGTTCTTGGTCAGCACCTGTTTGGTGGTGGTCTTCACCACCGTGGGCGTGCTCACCGGCTTGCCCAGCTTGCCGGCCGCCTGACCCGCCGAGCTGTTTAGCACGATGTCCTTGACCTGGTCGTTGCCATACTGCCCGGTCATGTCGTCCTCGGAGCTGCCCTCGGAGTCCCGCCGCAGGGCGCCCTTGCCTATGTGCTTGACCCCGTCGAAGAACTGCTGCCGGGTGATGGGCACCGTTTCCGTGGTGGTCTGCACTTGCGCCTGCTTGCCGAAGTGCGAGGGATCGATCTGGGCGTAGTTGAGGATCAGTTTGCCGGTCACGGGATCCGTGACAGCCGTGGCCGGGTCGATATCTCCCGTGTTCGGGTCAATGTCGCCGTACTCGCTCTTGATCCTGCCGGTCACGGGATCGATCTCGCCCGTCAGAGTCATCGTGTGGGTCACCGTGGTTCGGGCGCCGGCGAAGCGCGGGTCATTGGGGTCCACCTGCACAATTTCACCGGTCACAGGATCAATCATATTGTAAACATAAACGGTCTTATTGAAGAACTTAAGAACGCGGCCGGAGACGGGATCGATTTCGCAGGTGGAGGGATCGATCTCCTCCGGACGACCGCGCTCGTCGGTCTTCGAGATGAGCAGGATGCGCACGATCACGATCTTGCCCGTCTTCGGATCGACGCGGGCCAGCTTGGTGTAGACCTCGCCGGACTCGGGATCCACCTGGGTGGCCGCGTACAGCGGCTCCCCGGTGGCCTGGTCCACCTCCCCGGTGGCGGTGTAAATCTTGCCAGACGTGGGTTCGATTTTGATAGTGTTCGGGTCGAGCTTGGTCTGCTTCTTGATCTCGTTGGTCTTGGGATCGAGGTAGCCGTAGATGGTGATGACATAGCCCGTCTTGGGGTCGACGCTGCTGGAGATGTACTGCTGCTCCTTGGTGGCCGGATCGGTGGCTCCGGTGGGCACCCAAATCTGGTTGGACTTGGGATCCACCACGATGTCCTTGTCCTTGGAGGCGCTGACCTGGCTGATGGGCGCCTTGGTGGCCGGATCCACGCGCTGTTGCACGATCCTCAGCGAGATAATCCTGGCATAGTCCTTGTCCGGCTTGTTGTTCTTCGGGTTCACCTGGTTCTTCAGCACAATCTGTCCGGTCGTGGGTTCAATCTTGATGTCCCTGGTCACCGTCTTACCTGATTTGGGGTCATTGAAAGTGATGGTGTGCTTAACCAGATCAATCTGACCGTACTTGGTATCGATTTTGCCAGCCTTGGGATCGAACTGACCACCAGAGGTTTCCACCTGCGCCGTCTTGGCATCGATGATGTTCTTCTTGGAGTCAAACTTACCCGCCAACGAGGTGACCTCCACAATGGGGTCAATCTGTTGGCCCACCTCGATGAGGCGACCCTGGTTCGGATCGATCTTGTTCGTCTTGGGATCGATAACGCCCAGAATGGTGATCTGCCCGGTGCCCGGATCCACCTTCACATTCTTGCTGACCACAATCTTGCCAGACTTGGGATCGATGGCCTTTAGTTCGCCGGTGCGTGTGTTGATCTCGCCGTACTTGGTGTCCAGCAGTCCGGTGTCCAAGTTCAGGACGCCCAGCGATCGCTCCACGTCCCCGTTGACAGTGTCAATCTTTCCAGTGGCCGGGTCAATGCGACTGGTGATCACCGTTAGCTCCACCACAGGATTATCCTGCGGGGTGATGCAAACGATCTGACCCAGGCTGTCGTCCAGGCGTCCTGTCTTCGGATCCGCCACTCCGGACACCAAGTGGAGATTGCCCGTCTTGCCATCCACATCGCCTTGGAACACCTCCTTCTTGCCGGTCTTGGTGTTCAAAGCCTCCAGGGTTCCCTTCTTGGGATCGATCACTCCGTACTTGGTGTCGATGAGTCCGGTGGCGGGGTCTAGGATGCCCGTGGAGTGCTCAATGCTTCCGTTCTCCGCATCAATGCGCTTGGTCGAGGGATCGAACTTGGAGGTGATGACCATGATCTTGACACGCCTCTTCTTCGGCTTGGCAGCCGCCGCAGCTGCTGCTGCTCCAGCTGCTGCGACACCAGCTGCTCCAAATCCTGGAGCTCCCTTTCCTGATTTGGTGGGAGAACCAGGCTTCTTGGAACCAGCAGCACCAGCAGCACCTGCAGCACCGGCAGCTTGGGAGGGTCCCACGTATCCCGGCTCCCTGTTGTAGCGCTGCGACTCCAGGAAGTCAGCCGTGGGATCTCCGATGGGCTTGTAGCTTCCCGGAGCTCCGGAGGAGTAGCCCTGGGGTCCCTTGGTGGGCGAGTAGGATCGCTTCTGGGAATCGCTGAGCGGCACAGCAGCCGCATCCACAGCACTGCCCTGGAGCTTGGCACGAGTGGTGGGCGAGAGGAGGGGATCCTGCAGGAGCTTGGCCCGCGACTTGGGCGAGAGTTGACCGCGGTTCAGCTTGTCCTGGGTGCGAGGAGACAGCTGCCCCGCCTTCAGCTTCTCGGCCGTTTCCTTCAGAGCGTTCTCGTTGCCGGGCGCATAGTTAAAGGCCAGCCCGATCTTCTTTTGCTGCGAGGCTGGAGACAGCTGCTCCTGACCGTCGGCACCAGACTTCCTGGAATTGGGATCCTGATCGTAACGGAAGCCACCCGGGGTATACGACTTCCTGGTGGGACTGGCATTGCCATCCTCATCGACGGCATACTCATACTGCCTGGTGACGCCCGGAGTGGTGGATCCCCGGTTCTTGGCCGCATTCCTGGCCGCCTCGTCCAAATTCTGATCCTGCTGACCATCGCCCAGACCCGAAGTAACGACCAGACCAAGCCGACCCACTTCCTTGTCCTTGTCCTTGCCGGACTTGTCCTTGCCATCCTTGGATGGGGAGCCGCTCTTGCTCTTGCGGCCCGAGGAGAATATGCCCACGCCCTGTGGATCGTCGGTGGATCGTTCGGTTTCGGGGTTCAAATGAAAAGGTTTAACATAAAACGAAAAGAAATGGGAGGGAGAAATTAACCAAGGGAAATTATAAGTATCATACAACCAATGAGGTAAACTTAAGATCAATTTCGGGTATCACTACAAACTATCGTAACTTACGGGGTGAAACTCAAGTGAGGTGGGGTGGGGCTTTTGGGGGGGTTGAGGGTTATTAAGGGTGAACAGTATTTACACGAGGGCGGGCGCATTCGCTTAGCTTAGTTCTATAAGATCTAGCTATGAGCTAGCTTAATTTAGGGATAATCAGATGGGATACTTACACGTCTGCCTGAGGATTTGTCAGACTTGTTGGAATCATTCAGCTCGTCATTGCCTAGGGGATTTAGTAAGAGTTATTTTTAGTAAGGTGTAGTATATATAATTTAAAGGATACTCACCGTTAACGGCAGCTCCTGCAGCGGCACCAGCCGCCAGTGCTGCCTTGGCCGCCTTTTCGGCCTTCTTCTTCTCCTCCAACTCGCGCTTCTCCCTCTCCTTGCGCTCCTTCTCCTCCTTCTCCTTAAGCTTCTTCTCGCGCAACTTGGCCTCCTTCTCCGCATCCTGGGAAAAATAATGTAAGAGTTAGTATATGTACATTACGTATAGCTCGGTAATTACAGATTTTCGGGACGAAAAAAGGCAACATGCTACAAAATGGCTGAGATGTACAATACAAATTTACAATACAAGCAAACGAAATGAAAAGTATTATAGATGGTATCATTTTAGTAGAATCGCATATTCAGTGCCAATGCATGTTTTGTGTGGACTGTACCGGTGTGTCCCTAAATGGTATATACAGCTCGGGAAAAGGACTGTTGCAGACGCCAGAAAATAATCAAATCAAACTTAAAATAAACACTCAAAAAATAGTCAGGTAGATAGATCAAATGAATGCACATATAACAGACAGTTGACGGCACTGTTTGACTTTCGTCTTTATACAGAAATTACCATAAGATCAAGGAACAGCTCGTTCTGGGGCTACCGGAGTGGTTAGAGGATAGTCGGTGATGAAAACAAAAATATAAATTAATAGGTTCAGAGCATCCATTAAATACTGAGGTACAGTAGCCCTGAGCTGAACAAATAAACGAATAAACGGGGGAGACTTCAAATAAAATCGTTTCATACGTAAGCTCACAACATTCGTAAAGCAGAGGTTCAAAGCCGATAAAATAAGTTAGGATAAATTGAAGAAGATTCAGATTCGGATTCGGATATTTTTGGTTTTTTGTATTTTGATTTGTAGGTAGTAAAGTGTTAACCTGAACGGGGGGCTCAGCCTCGATGGCCGCAATCTCTAGGTTGGTCTCGTAGTCACCCTCGAGGGAACTTTGCGAGGAGGCCGAGGCCGTCCCGGTGCTCGACTGTCGCATCAACTGGTTAGTGTTCGGGGGTTAGGGTGTGTTTCAGGGGACGGAGGGTTAACGTTACGAGCACATCATTTCATTATCAGAGTCACAGAGTGGATGTGTGTGAGTGTAGGTTTGGTTGTTTTTGGTTTGTGAGTGGTTGTGAGTTAGTAACAAACCGAGAAGAAAGTACAAAAAACTCTGGTTAACTCCGAAATCATCGTTAAACATGTGTTCATCTCAATAGCTAAGTTTCGTCAGGCATTAGTAGGTTGATGGCTGGATGGGTTACCTTGTCCTTCTTGTTCTTGATGGGACTGCGGCTGTGGGCATCCCCATCGGCATTGCGATCGCCCCGATGGTCCAGGGTGCTGCTCTTGCGGGCCACCTTCTCCTTTTCGGCCAGGGCCAGGGCTGTAAAAGATTCAGTAGTTAGTATGGATTGAAAAACATGTTGGAAAATAATACTAGATCTTTGGAACTTCGTTCTACGGAAAATTATTATAAACAAACGACTCCTAATTATTTTAGGAATCAATGTGATTTTTTTTAGATTTTTATGTCAATCCGTTCTGTGTTTTCATTGCTACTGACCGTTTTTATAGGAAGCCTTTTATATTAGTGTAGATAATTTAATGTTCTCTATCAACGGCTTCATAGAATGAGGTTCCAAATTAACAATAAATAACATTAAATACAATAAATTTTAACTTGGGAACTCAGCATTATGATCCTATGATCTCTATCAACTGCTTCATAGAATGAGGTCCCAAATTAACAATAAATAACATTAAATACAATAAATTTTAACTTGGGAACTTCTTATGGTCTTATGGCAAAAGTAATTACCATCCATGCTGCGAGAAGTGAGACGAGCTCCGGACAGAGTCCTATTGAACTTGGGAGGCGTACGATCCACGGGCGTGGAAGTGCTCTCGGCCTGAGTGCGACCCTTGTAGCGGTAGGTGGATCCGAAGTGCGGGAACATCTTGGACCTGCTGGCCGGTTCCGGGGTCATCAGGCGGAAGAAGGTGTGGTGCTCCACGCACGATTTCCACAGCTTCTTGGCGGCTCGGTGGTTGGCCAGCTTGAAGCCAATGGTGGACTCGTACTGCTCGAATTCACCGGGTCGGATCTTGATGTAGAAGTGGTGGCGCTTGTACGAGATCTTTAGGATCTTGGGCCAGGCAAAGCGATTTATGCGCAATCTAGACAAGTAGAGGGTTTAATTAGTTGATAATACTGTTTTATAAAATCTATGATACTTACTTATCGCGGTAGACAAGCAAACCGGAGGCACAGACGCCCAGCATGATGTCCACGCCCTCGGAGTCCTTGGCTGGATGCAAATCCACGCCGTACATGGCCAGCTTCTTGGCGTTCTCCAGGTAGTGTAGCTCAGCCTCGGCGGGCGATTGGCCCCTGGGATAAAATAGGAATAAAGTTAGTAAAAATGTGAGTTAAAATAGGATGTAGATCCTCTCACTTGTGGGTCTTGTGCAGATCCATGACCTTATCCTCCAGCTCGGGCGTCTGATTTGGGGCGATCTTGAACTCTTTCAGATACGATCGCGTGGGCATGTCCTCGGCATCGTAATCGCCCATCTCCGACTGCACCAGGTACGAACCGAGCAGCGCATGAGTGACAAACGTGCAGGGCAGTCGGCCCTCCAGGATGTCGTTGCGCACCTGCAGGCACAGGTGGTAGCGCGTGATGTCCTCCTTCAGCTGCGACGGCTCCGGCGGATAGAACTTTACGGCGAAGGTGAGGGGCCAGGTGTCCGTGCGAAAGAACTTGGACACCGGCTTCTCCAGATCCAGCCAGGTTCGCGGGTCTGTGGGCGTCTCATAGGTCAGGCCGAAGTAGTCCTTTTCGATGAGGTTCAGACCGGCGCAGATGGAGTTGATCACGTCGCGACCAATGGCCTTGCGCTGTAATAAATAAAATAACATTTAATACATATTTAAGAAAAGATTAAGGCAGATAATTTCAATTATATTACAGACTTATTAATATCACTATGGACGGCAGTCCATGTAGTGACGAAGCGCACCAGGAGAGTGTGCGAAGGCGACTACTATATATACACGAAGAAATGAAAATCTACTGTGATGGTCCGATCATAATGAATGATACACCTATCGAAAGGTATTGCAAAAACTTAAAGGATTGCATACCAAGACTTTAGGAAAATCAATTGGCTTGGGAGAGAGAGCGGGGAAAGTGAAAAAGTTAAAATTTCGAAATTTGGAGCTGTTGGGGCCGGTGGGGATAAATGCCCCCTCGCAATGTTTTAGTTGTATTCCTTTTGAAAATACCCGTCGAATGAGGGGTCATTTGTCAAAATCCGACGCTCCGTTCAAAAGTTATAGCCAAAATAAGATTTTCTTCTTCTTCCCAAAATGAAAATTTAATTCTGTTTGTCCACTTGTCCACTTGTCCAAAATATGTTTTTTAAGTTCTGAAAATTTGATATGACGTTCATCACATCGATATAAAAAACTTTTGTTCTACCACTTTTGGAAAAACTAGCTAGTTTAGTCTACAGACTTGTGCTGCATCTCGTTTGAAAGGTATTTTTAAATGCTATAAACGCCTTCTATATGCAATTTGAGTAAATGTAATAGTTAAAAAGATATGAACAAAATAAAATTTGTTTAAACTTTTTTTTAGCTTTTTTTAATTTTCTCAAAAACGGCTCTAACGATTTTCCTTGCAACTTTAAACTGTATAGCCCTTGAGATTCCTTAAATTTTGGTATATAACACATTACTGTAAAAAGTCACGTTTAAAAGTTATTTTTATACGAAAATAGCCACTTTTGCCAGCTCAGAACAACTAACGCTCCCTGAGTATTGAATTTTGTGGGAGGGTATCCGAACTGTATTTTACGGTCATGGAATCAGTTCATTTGCATCTAACAGTTCCATATAGGAATCTTTTGTTCTACGACTTTTGGAAAATCGCGCTACTTTAGCGGGGAAAAAGCTAAAAAAAAGCTAAGTTTTGTTAGTTCGTAAGTTCTACACTACTAAAGGTACAGACATGGGCTATACCTCGTTTAAAAGGTATTTTTAAATACTTCAATGCCTTTTTAACTTAATTTGTTAAAATACAATAGTTTAAAAATTATGATTGACCAATTTAAATTTAAATGTATATATTAGCTCCTATGAGAGCAAATGTAAACAAACAAAAACTTCTGATATCAAATAAAAACACCTCTTAACGAGGTAAAAAACTAGTGACGACCGCACCTTCAACATACAAAAGTTCTGATATCAACATTTGTGACGAAAAATTATTACACTCGTCATTAAATAGACTTTCTAATATTTTCTCATTCGGCACGCTGCAATAGAAAATGCCTGTGAAGGGAAAAATGCTGGAATAGTTTGCTAGGGCGGGCCGAATGAGAAAATATTAGAAAGTCTATTTAATGACGAGTGTAATAATTTTTCGTCACAAATGTTGATATCAGAACTTTTGTATGTTGAAGGTGCGGTCGTCACTAGTTTTTTACCTCGTTAAGAGGTGTTTTTATTTGATACTAACCCTACAAAAAGAAAATTGGTTTTAAAATAGATGTACACATTATTCGCATTTTATAAAATTAATACAATGATATTTATTTCATGTTTAAATAAAGATTTAATAATTATTTAAGAAAAGAATAAGGCAGATAATTTCAATTATATTACAGAAATATTAATATACTAATCCTACAAAAAGAAAATTTGATTTTAAAAGAGATGCAAACATTATTTTAATTTTTTTAAAATAATATAATGATATTTATCTTAAATTTGACTCACAGAAATCTTGAAATATTAAAAAAAACAAGTTTAGATAGAGAAAAGAAAATTGATATTAAATCCCCAGCTTTTATGACTAACTTTTATGACATATCCCCCCAGTTTACTCACATCAATGGACACATCCAGAATGGAGCCATCCAGCAGGGTGATTCGGGCGAGGGCGGGCTTTCCGTGCGACGAGGAGTTCGTCTTGGCTTTGCTCTTGGTCGGCGTTTCCGGCTCAGCGGGCGCGGATGGTTTAACTTCCGCAGGCATCTTGGCTTCGGGGACTCGGCTACGCCAGCAGCAGTTTGGAGAAGTCTGCGAGAGAGAGTGGAGAAATTAGTAGAGTAAATTGCACGGGATTGGATCCCAGTTAAATGGCCGGAAGTGCCCACTCCGCGGGTCATGTGGGCGACTTTTGCTCATTAGACGTCTGCAGTCTGGGCATAAAACACGCCATAAAGTTGCTCAATTTGAGTGGCGCCAGAAAAAGACCCCACACAGACACCAGGGCACCCAGAAGGGAGGTGGCCACTTCCTCCTCCCTTTTCGTGGCCATGATGTCACCCTGCAACTGTGTTCTCACTCTAGAATTTCTCCAGCTCTAAGAGAAATTGCCCATTAAAAGCGGAACTGCAAATTGAATTTACATTTTACTAGCGAAAGCAGATAGTAAAAAAAACTTTCAAGTCTGAAACCATTACAATGCGCCGGCCATAAACCGCACAACAGTCAGATTTCACAGATCTATTATTAAGCAGAGTGAATACAAATTATGCCCCAGTAATTAAGTCATTAAATATATATTAAGTACATGGGAATCCGAACAGAAGTTAAGTTGTCAAGTCCTTTGAGTAAGCCGAAAAGTCAAGTGATCGACGCCAGCTCACGTTCGAGTTTTGAATTCAAGTTCAGCAGTGACATAAGACTCGCACTTAAGTATTATATATGTGTGCTATATCTGTGTGGGTTATATAAGCCGGCAAGTCGAGGCAGCGTCATGTTCTCGCGCTTTTATCCCCTTCCGTTTCCATTTGATTCCGTTTGCGGTCGGCATTTAGCGGGACTGGAGATTGCTCCAATAATTCCATAAAAATGTATCTTTCTGCAAAACAGACGCTATCGACATTCTGCCACGGATGCGAACACAGTGCCCCACCCATAAAAGAGCCTTCAATCAACGCTGATTGATAGGAATGGGAATGCCAATGGGAATGCGAATGGTTAACGTGCTAGGATCGAGAGTCAATTGGCCCAAGATGCACTGACCGATTGCGCAGCGAGTTCAATTCCACTCGCAGTGTTTAATTGATTGGGAAGCCATCGATCCCCAAGTGGAAACTAGCCGAACGAGTTTCTTGGCAGCTCTTCTATGGCGTTATAATACTGCTTCAGTTTCGGTTTTCAGTTTTAGATTCGGACACGACCCCCAGGCGAATTAACTCTGGTGGCGTCATCGTGCGTTCAAAATTAAACAAAAACACACATGAAATATGTATGCTGAGAACCAGAACCCCGAGTCCGAAAAGCAGACAAACGTCTAATTTATATTATTTTATTTATTCTGGCGTCTTTGTAGCGCGCAGACCATGTGTATATGGACTCCATATAGCATTACTTTGGCAGCGTGCTCGTTCCCATAGTCGAAGGTTGCGCATACGCAATGTTGACATCATCGACGGGGCGGCTGCAACTATTTTCGCTCGGCGAATTGCAGGGTCTATAAAAGCTGAGAAAATGCTATGTGCCACAGGGCACACTTGACTAAGATCGGCGGTGAATCAGCCGCGCCATTATCTCGCACATTTACAAATTGGTTTGGCTGGCAAACCAAAACAAAACAAATCGCTCGAACTGTTGATAGCGCGTAGCTTTTACAATGATTTATTCTCGATGACATCATCATGGGATCTGCGATCTGCGATCAGCACCCGCTAAGGCATAATATCAAGAGCTATTTCTAGAGTTTATAGAAATATCTGCAAGAGATGCCGACACCCAAAAACATTTCAGCGCATTCGCCTCAATTGAAGGAGGTCGAGGTGAAATTCATCAAGTGGCGCGCGTCTAATCTTCACGTTACAATATTTCTGCTGGCCAGGCGAGAACTAAATAAAGAGAAAAAGCAGACGACGACCCAAGAGTACAAGATATATCTCTGGCATGGCATTATTGTGAAAGTAACAAAGTTCTGCCGGCGGACAGAAGACAGAAGGCAGAAGCACAAAAGATGGCAATCGCGTCGTTTCAATTGAGAATCGGAATGAGAACATGAGCACTTGGGTGCAGCCTGCTCCCCTTTAATTAAGTTTCATTTAATACAACTTAAATCAAATTCAATTGGCGACGGGGCAGGGCCAGAGTCCGTGGAGGGATGGCTCGACCGTGTGTCATCAAGTTATTATTCTGACATCAACCTAGGTCACCTGGTGGTGGCGTCACCTCCCCCGGGATGTCCCTACCCCCCCTTTGAATTTCTCCTAATATATATCAAATAAAAACACCTCTTAACGAGGTAAAAAACTAGTGACGATCGCACCTTCAACATACAAAAGTTATGATATCAACATTTGTGACGAAAAATTATTACACTCGTCATTAAATACACTTTCTAATATTTTCTCATTAGGCCCGCCCTAGCATACTATTTTAGCCTTTTTACCTTCATAGGAATTTTCTATTGCAGCGTGCCGAATGAGAAAATCTTAGAAAGTGTATTTAATGACGAGTGTAATAATTTTTCGTCACAAATGTTGATATCATAACTTTTGTATGTTGAAGGTGCGATCGTCACTAGTTTTTTACCTCGTTAAGAGGTGTTTTTATTTGATATCAGAAGTTTTTGTTTGTTTATATTTGCTCTCATAGGAGCCAGTGCTGCCATTTTGTCCTCTTTCCGGACAGATCTGTCCCTTTTTTAACGACTTTATCCGGAAAAAAATTCAAACATCCCCTATCCGGAAATCTGTCCTTTTTTCAAAGATAAGGTTTTGAGTGTTATTTTTGCTAGTCGAAAGTGTATAAACCTGCTTTTATATGCTGAAACGCCGTTTTAACCATTATTCTTATAGTTCGGCACTTTAAAAATAATTATTTTTACAAATTATCAAAGAGATGTAATGCAGTCGATGGACTTTCTTTATAGTACGATTTTTTCTGTAGCAAAAAAGAGGAAAACACTTTAAAAAGTTCTCAATTTTTACTCTCAGCCTTTTTGTCAGAAAAAAATTTCATATTTGAACGACTCTTATTCGGGTTTGACGCAGATATTGCATTTTTTTGTATTACCAATATAGTTACTTGAAATGCTTTTATTATTTTAATAATTTTAGATTATTACGTATACGCACAAAAATTGGCAATGGTAAAATGATCAAACGAAGAAGGTTGTGAGTCGGGCGCAATAGATCATTACATAATTGAATTTAATATAAAATCCATTTATATTAAGTAAATATATCACCCTTTGGTAAAAACAGAAAAATGGAGGCGCATTTACTTTTGTCCTTTTTTTTGTCCTTTTTTAAATTTTTTTGTCCTCTTTTTCCCTGTTTTTTTTGGCTTTTCTGTCCGGTTTTTCAAGCTGAGTGATGGCAGCACTGATAGGAGCTAGTATATACATTTAAATTTAAATTGGTCAATCATAATTTGTAAACCATTGTATTTAAACAAATTAAGTTAAAAAGGCGTTTAAGTATTTCAAAATACCTTTTAAACGAGGTATAGCACATGTCGGTACCTTTAGTAGTGTAGAACTTACAAACTAACGAAATTTAGCTATTTTTAGCTTTTTCGTAGAACAAAAGATTCCTATATGGAACTCTTAAGTGCAAATTTACTGATTCCATGACCCTAAAATACAGTTCGGATACCCTCCCACAAAATTCAATACTCAGGGAGCGTTAGTTGTTCTGAGCTGGCAAAAGTGGCTATTTTCGTTTCTAAATAACTTTTAAACGCGATTTTTTACAAAAACATGATATATACCAAAATTTAAGGAATCTCAAGGGCTATACAGTTTAAAGTTGTAAGGAAAATCGTTAGAGCCGTTTTTGAGAAAATTTAAAAAAAGCTAAAAAAAAGTTTAAACAAATTTTCTTTTGTTCATATCTTTTTAACTATTACATTTACACAAATTGCATATAAAAGGCGTTTATAGCATTTAAAAATACCTTTCAAACGAGATGCAACACAAGTCTGTAGCTTTAGTAGTATAGAAGTTACGGCTTTCCGAATTTTAGCTATTTATAGCTGTTTTCCCGCTAAACTAGCGAGTTTTTCCAAAAGTGGTAGAACAAAAGTTTTTTATATCGATGTGATGAACGTCATATCAAATTTTCAGAACTTAAAAAACATATTTTGGACAAGTGGACAAGTGGACAAGTGGACAAACTGACAAACAGAATTAAATTTTCATTTTGGGAAGAAGAAGAAAATCTTATTTTGGCTATAACTTTTGAACGGAGAGTCGGATTTTGACAAATGACCCCTCATTCGACGGGTATTTTCAAAAGGAATACAACTAAAACATTGCGAGGGGGCATTTATCCCCACCGGCCCCAACAGCTCCAAAATTCGAAATTTTCACTTTTACTGCTCTCTCTCCCAAGCCAATTGATTTTCTTAAAGTCTTGGTATGCAATCCTTTAAGATTGAGATTTTTGCAATACCTTTCGATTGGTGTATTACTCATTACGATCGGACTATCACAGCAGATTTTCAATTTTGCGGCTATATAATAGTAGTCGCCTTCGCACACTCTCCTGGTGCGCTTCGTCACTACATGGACTGCCGTCCATAGTGATATAGGTATATAACTAGTCATTGTGACTGAACTTTCGCTTTAATGCCCATCAGCATTAAAATTTCGCCCCGGCAGTGAAGTGCACAAAACTTTTCAAACTTGCCATTTTCTGAACCCAACGAAGCGTTGCCAATAAATCGCATTTAAAATGTGTTATATACAAGAGCGATTTTGAGGGGCTATTGCCTGAAACTGACTTCGCATCCGTTTATAAACATGGCCGCATTTCCGCAAGGGAAGCTGTTACATTTCAGAAAGATAAATAAGCTTCCGTTGAAGTGGATAAATTAGAATGTTAATTAATGGGGTAGATATTGCAGTTTTAATCAGTTCAGGTTGACTAATGAAGGGCATTAGCGTTATATTATTATTATTTCCCTCAATTTATCATCACTGACCCCCTGAACCAATCATCACACACCAATGAACATTCGATATTCCTGCTTTTCCAGCTCGTCAGGTCTTCCATCTTGCTTTGTATATTTTTCGAGAAATTATGGAGTGGGAAATACGTAAACATTCGCGCATTCTGGACTGTGTGCTAAAGCGGGAAAGTGGGTCAATCAATACGGACCGATTAGAGGGTGTGTTTCGCCTTTGCGAATGCATAGACTTATCGACGGAGTGGAACCGCCTGGCAGTCGAGGATGGCGACTTGGAAGGCGTCCGTCGATAAGCCAGATCCGTTCCCATTCGGCACTCGGAACCCTGAGACGGCGATGACCGGTGGTCAGAAGTGGATCAGCCACTTGAGGCAAACGGGTTTCTGGTCACCAGATGCCACTTTTGGACAGCTCAAGTGACGGCTCTATGGAAGAGTGTGTCGCTTGACTAATTACCGCTCCGATCGGCGCTCTACTGACGGCTGACGGGGCGACATAACCGCAGTGAATCACACCCACACCGCCTCACCCCCCAAACAACTGTGCACCGCTTGTCAATGGCTATTTAAAGCATTTGGCTCTGCCTGGCCAACGAACTCTGAATGCATCCAGAGGGGCTGGCATTTCTACCCTACAAAATGTAAACTAGGAAATAAATAGGTATTAGATTAAAGTCGAAAAATTTATTTGTGAAAGAATTATGAAAACTATTACATTTTATATATTCATATTTATTACCAAATTAAAATTTACTACATTTTTTAATAAATAAATAGGAGTTTTATATACTTGAATAATTCTGATAATAGCTGCAATATCGGAACTGCTTTAAAATAAAATGTTTTAAATATTTTAGAATATTGAATACTACATGAAAACTAAAAATATTTTAGTAGAAATTAAACATAAAATAATGATCTTAAACGTTTGATGTGCTAGCTCTATAACATTAGCCCCCAATCATGATAATATTTTCCCCCGTGTCGTGATGCCGCACCCACATGCACATCGCGATTTGATTTCTGCCCAGACGGCGGGGAAAAAGTGTCGTGAAGAGGGGAGAAAGTAAACAAACAAGCCGCCGTCGAGGAGAATTTTGTCCACTTCAGCGCTTTGCACATTAATCATAGACCTATAGACGCCCCATCCGCAGAAGTAAAAATCGATGCGACAAGAAATAAAAATAGAAAACGGAAAACGGAGGGCCTGAGTAGCTCAAAGCGGTCTGGAAAAGTTGCCTTCCGTCTGATTGAGTTTGTTGGCAGATTAGATTGGTTTTCCTCGCGATGGAGGAGGAGGGTGGAAGTCAAACTAAGAATAGCCAGTTCCTTTGATGAAGACCAATAAATTTGAAAGATACTTTGTGCTACATATTCGGAGATCTTCCCAGCGATCTGGCCACGCTGGAAAACGCTTTACTCTGCCATTATCGAAACCAGGCTTAGTCCCCGCTTTTCCCCGAGAGAAACCGAGAGATTTCGGAGCGGCTCTCTCGGAGCTTCTAACGCTCAAAGACACACCTAGTTGGTAACGCTCGCTCGGAGTCAAATTCGGATTCGGATTCGGACTGGGGGTTCGGAGTCGAATTCAGGTTTTCGCTTTGGCTCTGATTCCGACTCTTTTTTAGCCATGTTCGCGTGCTGCCAAGTCGTTAGCCCGCTCGCACGTTCTCTCACTCTCGAGATTTTTATACATTTTAGTTTTCCCCACTCGCTGGTTGTACAGTTATTAGCATTCAGTGGCTGGCACTCCTCGTTTGCTTTGCTCGGCTGCTTTATCTGTTTGTCTGCTGTGCAGCCAACTTCTCTTTCTTCTGCTGGCCAGCAGCAACCGGTTTCTAATGCAACTTTACATGGCCTGGCCATGAAGAAGCAGAAGTCTTTATGTTAATGTTTGTTACTATTTGGGTCAAAGCCCACACCTCCCGGAAAAAAAAATGTAAAAAACTCCACGTAAACAGCGGCTTTCGAAGAACGGTTTTTCCGTTGCCATGTCAACGCCCCAAGTTTTCCGGGGATGGTGAAAATCGTGCCATGACTCAGAGGGGTGAGGGGCCAAAGTAACGACACCAGTCACCTGCCATTCATAACTGGCCTTTGTTGTGGTGCCTTATCTTATCGCAGAACCGCATACTAGCCATGTTGCCTAGTGGAAGGGATAAAGAGCCGTCCTTGTTTACCGAGCCGATATCAAACAAAATAAAAATGCCATTGCAAAAAACGCTCAATATTTGATAAGGAGTGCGGAAACCTGCTGGCCCGCCGATCGATTCTATTTTGGGAGCAGTGACGTCTAAATTTGAGCAGTGGATTTAGCCACCCTATGAAACTCTTTGCCATATGAATGCGACGATATTCCAAAATTATACATATAGGTCAAAAGAGATACAAAAGAATGTGAGGACTCTAAACTTATGAGATACATTTAAGTGAAAATATTATACAAAAGTATCTCTGAGAATAGTTTGTAACTGCGTAGAATTGTATTTGTATGTTTTACCCCTTTACCCCCTGCTATTCTAAAGTGTCTGCCTCTGAAAATGCGTAGTTCAAGTTCATACGCATCTGTAAGTACATAGCTTAAAGATACATACGTAACTAAAGGCCATAGATACATTTAAATAGTTCACTGCTGAGTAAAAGTACCTTTAAGATACATTTGTATCCGATCGGTGTTGTGGAACGTTTCCTTGGCTACCGTGGGGCGAGCAGGAATTTCCCACCCTCCCCCCAAAATGCGAAGCAAACGAGGAAAACACAGAAAGAGGAAAATTGGAGTAAGGCAACGGCAAAGAGAGCTGGCGACAACAACAATGTGGGCCGAGTTGACAAAACAAGAAGTCGAAAGAATATCGTGCCAAAAGATACACTCGGAAAGCTTGACAGCTCACAGATACAAATGCGGAGTCCGGCTCTCTCTCCACCTCTCTCTTCCGCTCTCTGCCTCTCGCAAAGCTACTCTCAATCAACCGAATGTGCGTGTGTGTGTGCTATGAAGTCATTCTGCCCAAGTCATTCTGCGCCTGTGTTTGTATCGAAAACATAAAGCCACCAAAACTCCCGACCACAGCCCAAAAAAAAAAGAAGAAAAAATTACACAAACAAAAAAGCTAGCTTATGTCGCAATCCCCGAAAAGCTACTCACCCACTCAAGTCGGCTCTAGAATCCTTTTTAATCCACAGGAAGGATACGTAGATGGGGAATACTTTGCGGCGTTTTTTTACCGTTAGGTCTTAGTGGTGTTTTGCTGCTGTATTTGTGTTGTTTTCACTTTTCCCCGTTGTTGCACTCACACGCGTTCACACTGGTAAACAAATTCTTTGCACCTTTTTTCTATTCGTTCGCGAAAAAAGACAATTTGTTGTTGTCGTCGTCGTCGTTGAATACCTGTTGAAAATTTGACGTTGAGTTTTTTTGAGTGAGTAATAGAGAACGGAGAGCGGTGCGGGGAGCGGGGGCGGTGGTGGGGGGAAAATAGAGAGCGGGGTGGGCGTGGGCGGAAAATGCGCGAATAGTGGTTGCTAATAAATTAATTTCGCATTTATTTATAAACACACTGTCGAATTGCGCGCCTTTCTTTACATCCGCTCGTCGCCTTTGGCAATTCTTTCTGCTGGCAAAACAAATCTGCTCAGAGTTCTGGGAGCGCGATCAAAAACGTACCGTCTTCACAAATATTCGATGTGCTGAGCACGAAGAGCAAACTGGTACTGAAACCCAAGCGGAGAGACCACTTTCCGCCTTCCGATTTGACTCGAATCGTGTTGAGACCAGAGAAACAACCACCAAGTGGTTGCAGTGCTGGCAAACGTCGGTGGTTCATCTGAACGGTTCGGTTTAATTTTTGAATTTTTATAGCGCCAGAAAATGTTGTTAAACATATTAAACATAGATTCGAAATGTACCCTACTTTCAGTATTTAATCGTATTCCAGTTCCATATTTTTTCCTAAATATTAGAAAATCTATTAGGTTGCTCTATCTTTTTCCAAATACTTCACAAAATTTTGGATTTTGTCAAGAAATTGTTTTTTAAGGCTATTAAATTTAATTTTTTATAAATTAACAACTCACGTCTTATCACCAAATTCGTTTTTATGAAAAGTCTCTGATAAATATTTATTTGGAAGTTGTGGTTCTCTTTAAAGCTTTTAAAATTGTTAAAAATGTTAAGCATTATCCTATAAGCTTCATATAAATTCTTAAGATATTTGTCATAAATAAGATTGGCATGGGTTTTTAAAATTTGAGTTGTTTTGATTAGAGAGAATGACTTGCTTACAATCATTTGTTATTTTTTTTAAATACCCTGCACATTCGTATCCGTTTTGACTGTAATCATATATAAGCACTTTAGTTAAAATTCAATGTTTATTGCGGTGGCAAAGTTTCCTACATTTAGTTAATGTATAAAAGTAACTATTTTTAAGTGCAGCTTCCATCTCGAATTCTATCAACAGTCTGTGGAAACGAAACTTTCTCTAGATTCCGAATCCACGCAGTCAGGTAGATTAAATATTGGAAGCAGGTCATCATTTCTAGCCCCTTATCGTTTGCGATACAAACAAGGCTTCAGGGAGAAAGCCTTCAGCTTGGTGCCCTTGGGCACATGGCGCATCTTCTTGAATTGGAAGAAGTAGAAATAGTTAACAGCCACATCTTTCTTGATCAGGTCGAAACCACAGGCACTCAGGCAGCGCACAAACTCCCGCACATCCTCGAAACGCGACTGGATCTCCGCTATATAGACACTGCCGTGCAGCTTGAGCAGCCGATTGGCCTCCAGGAAGAACTCGTTCAGATCGGTGCCCATCAGAGAGAGACAGTACACGGCCACGTCCAGAGATTGAGCTTGGAGCGGGGTATCGGTGATGTTGCAGGCAATGATGTCGCCACGAGCAGCCACCAAATCCATGGAGTACACCTTATTCGGCACGGACTGGGCCAGTTTGCCCTCGCCACAGCCAAAGTCCCCGATAATGGCCGTCTTGGGCACCTTCTTGATGGTCTTGATGATGCGGTTGAGTGGATTGGTTGGCCACTTCTCCACCTGCTGACGGTAGCCAGCGTGGTAGGCCTCGAAGGCGGAGCTGTCCTTGCGGAAGAGGGCCTCCGCCTTGCGACTGGTCACCGAGTAGAGTTGCTCGTTTATGTACCGGAACCGTCCGCCCAGGAGCTCCGACTGCAGCTTGCTGGCCAGCGAGTTGGCAGCCGGCGTGGGTGAGCTGGTGGCCTCCATGGCCTCCACGGCCGCCTGAGCCAGTTCCGGTTTCAGCTTGAGTTCCTTTTTTCCGCCCTTTGTGGCCTGCGTTGGTGGTCGCTGCTTCTCGATTCTTCCGGACTTCACCTTGTGCATGGCCCGGATGCCATCCTCCACATCGTCGTCATCATCATCATCCGAGGAGGCAGGGGGCGGGGCCAGAGGTCCTCCGCCCTGCCGGTAGCTGAATTTTCCAGGTGTCTTGCTTAATCTGGATTCTTCTGAGGCCTCCGCTGCCTTTTTCCGCCTGGGTTTCTTCTTCTTTGGCTTCTTGGCGGCGGCGACTCCATTTCCTGATGGATTCACAGGCTTGAATTCGACAATCTCTGCTCCTGCCTCCCAGGGAGGCACTTCAAATGGCTTCATTTTGAAAGGAAAAATTGTAAACAAATCGAGAAACACGTGAAACCTCCCCCAACTGAGTTACCGCACTTTCGAAAACGACACGAACGCAGTTTTGAGAATTTCCTAACGCGTTTTTCGAAAAAGAGCGGAAAATTCAAAACAATTATTATTCTGAACTTATTCAAAATCCTCCAAAAAAACATTTCCAAAATAGCAAATCAAAGCATTTCTTTCACATACTTTTTATTTTTGCACTAAACTAGAGTTCAACAATTTTGTGGGTTTATCTGTTTGTTTTTCTCAGTATTAGTTTGTAATTTTCGGTTTTTTGCTTTGTCGTATGAACTAAATAACTTAAGGTCTAGTAGAATATTTTTACAACTCAATCGACGTAAAGTGCTGTTCGGAAAGTTGTCTGTTTTCATCGCTTAACTTAGCCTAGAACCGTAACTATGACAATCAGTTTACTTGTTTAACATACAGATACAGACCATTAATTTGCATTTATTTTGTTTTAATTCGTGTTACTAGGTTAGAAAAGTCTTACTAGCTAGTTTTGTTTCCCAACAAACCGTTTTTCATCCTCCCCACTCCCTCATCCTTTGAATTTCCGTTGCGGTTTTGAGCCAATCGAAAGCAGTTTAAGCAGCTAAAAAACATTGCGATTTACAATTGCTAAAGACTAAGAATTATTTATTAGTTCTAATTGCCTTAGTGGGTCTCGAATCGTGTGGATAATTGCATTGTATTAATGTGGGTTTACTTGGATTCTCCTGCTGACTGACTATTTGGAATCGTATCTATTGGCTTTGTGAAGCGTGTACACAAATCTCTAACATAACTATCCGTAGCGATTACCGTAGGTCATTAAAGTTAGTTGTATAAATTAAAGCATTTCCTTGTAATACAAAAATATAGCTACAACGGAATCGGGTAGACGCAGACGTCTAGTATATCGAAAGGTAGCGATTCGGGCCGAGTATCCCCTTCAGTGTGCTTGGTAGTGTGAATCTGGATCGGGATCTTGATCTCTTCTTCGAAGGCTGCCTCTTTTAGGTGCTGTAAAATTGCGCTAATCTAAGCTATCGAACGCTCGACATGCAACTGGCTCTCTCTATTCCTCTATGATCAGTAACTCACTGCTTAGCCTACGAGTAATTAAATTACAGTTAATAGTTGACGACGACGGCGACGGCGGCCCTTAAAACTTGTGTGTGTGGTGAACCGGATTATATTTAAAATATAACAGTGGATTAAACGGGCGTTCCATTAGCTTAGTAGCTAGCCTCGTGCCCGGCCAGAATGTACAGATCATGTCCCTCCTCGCTGCCCAGGGAGCCGGTCCTCAGCAGTTGGCTCTCCAAGGCCACAACCCTGGAAATAGGAAAATAAAATGAGTTCTTAAGTCCATAGTAGAGCAGTGCGTGAATCTTTCAATTTTTGTTTTATCATAGTATGCCATGAAATTTCTGATTTGTTTGATTCAATTCTATGTGAAATAAATTGAAAGTTTTTTTAATTTATTTCGAATTGAATGAATAATTTTTATGAATTTTTCGAATTTGCCAAATTTTTTTTCTGCTTTCTTTTGAGAACAAAAAGTGGAACATCAATGTTAACTGCACAGTAAATAAAATTCAGGGAGATTTAACCACAAAATGATGGCCCTTTCTTCTTCAAAAGAAATTGTCGTTTGAATTATTTCGGAATCCATGCCATTCATTCATTCAATTCTATTAAACTCAAAATTCTAATTAATTCATTCATATAAAATAAAAAATTCAAAATATTTCATTGAATCCATTCATGCAGGGCTCTAGTCCATAGGTTTATATGATAAAGAGCTCCTTACTTATCGCTGCCCAGCAGCCTGTAGGTGCGACTCATGTCCTTGATCTCCTGCGTCACCTCGCCATTGCGCAACGACTTTCCCTGCATGCCGTGCTTATGGAATGCCAAAACGCTGTCCGGTAAGCAAACTGAAATCGATTTAAGCCATGAGGAGGCAACTCTTTAAGTAAATAATATCCAATTTTACCAATACTGTCAACGTTAAAGTCAAAGTTGAGCTGCGATACCATCTTCTTGTGCTGCTTGGGGTTGCCCTGCAGCGTGACCACCTGCATCAGATTGCCGTAGCAGACGAGAATGGCGTCCTTCTCCACCTGGTGCACGCGCACCACCTTCAGCAGGTCGCGACGCGGCACCATCGTGGCCATGGCGTCATACTCCAGGTCCTCCGAGTGGAACCAGCTGGCACCTAAGGGAAGAGGAACGATAACCATTAAAATCAAATCATTACATCCAACTCTGGCCTACACTCACTGTTCATGTTGATCAGCTCCAGCTTGAGGCAGCCGTTCATGGCCTTCCGCACACCCGTACACACTATCGGATACTCCAGTTCCGGCGTGATAATCATCTCGAATACGGGTGTGTGTCCATTCTGGACGCAGCCATGTCCGCCGCCCTGAATGCTAATGGCCGGCCACTCGCACTGCTTGAGCAGCATAAACTTGTTCAGCGGATCGTACCACTGCATCAGGAAAATGCCGCTGGGCGTCGCCCCGCAAAGGTATTTGTATCCATTGTACGGATTCCGCGTGACGCAGCACTGGGTGCAGCACTTGGTATCGGGCACCTTGGTGGTCAGGGCGAACTTGCGCGGCACCAAGCGCTCCGGGATCTTGTTCATGTGCAGCGAGAAGCGCACCGTCTGCTTGGAGTGCAGCGCCACCAGGTCGTGTCGATAGAGCTGGCAGGATTTTCCTGGAATAAAGGATATGTTAGACATATAGAATTTAGTTATGGTATAGAGTACCTACCCGACAGACTCATGAGCACATCCTTGATGACATACAGCCAGGTGGTGCGGCGCGGGAACAACTGATCGATGGCCGCGTCGTGCAGCTCGTTCATGTTCAGGTTGTAGATGCCCTCCTCGGCGCCAATCAACAGATGCTGGTCCCGCGTCTCCGGGTGGATCCACGAGGCGGTGCAGTGCACCCGCAGCGGGCAGCCGTTGAAGATCTTGGAGAAGCAGGCGCCCATGTGCACCTTGGGGGTGGGCGGCAGTCCGTTGGAGATGGGACGCGGTGGCGTGTGGCGGCGCTTGTGGGAGCGTTTCGGTGGCACCGGCGGGGTGTTGTTCAGCAGATCTGGTTGCGCCTCCTTCTCCGCTGTTAGTATTAAAATATCCATGAATTTTTGGGTTTATAATTTGGTTTCTGACTAGTACTTACCTTCGTCATCGTCCTGAGTGCCGCCATCGCTCAGGCTGCGTGTCCTCGAGGACTTGCCCATGTTCTCGAGCAACCCAATCAGCTGATCCATGGAGCTATGGCGTCGCGGCGAGTCCTCCAGACCATTCTGAGGGGTCAAAAACGAAAGTGATTAAAAATCAAGAGAGAACGCTATAGTCGGGTTGGTGTCCCGACTATCTAATAATCGTAACTCAGCTAAAAGGAGTGCGAGGAAGATGGATATATAACATTTTTTTGATTGCGCAGAACTTTTTAATAAATGGTTCGATTTGAAAATAAATTGCATTTAAACTTCTCAGAAATTTTTAAAGGTGTGGGCGACAGACACATTTTAAAATCGTTAGTCGGCGATTGCGGGCGTTAGAGGGGGTGTGGCGCTCGGCTGAAATAAACTTGAGGTGCGTAGGAAGTCCATGAATATGTGTGGAAAATCTCAACCTTCTGGCTTTTGTAGTTTCCGAGATCTCAGCGTTCATACGGACGGACAGACAGACGGACAGAAGGACATGGCTATATCGACGGAAACGCTTCCTACTCCCTGTTACATACTTTTGCACGAATTCAATATACCCTTTTACTCTACGAGAAACGGGTATTATAAGTTATATAATTTCTGTATATATTTTTACCTGGTTACTCTCATGCCGGTAATCACAGTTGTTGCCCGCCGAGCTCGTTCCCGCCGGCGCCTCTCCGGAGCTGCTCCTCAGCAGGTTCTGGTAGAGATGCGAGGAGTTGCTCGACGAGGGTCCATCGCTGTCCCTCGATCCGGACGCTCCCGCTCCGGAGTTAGCCGCCGGGCTGTTGGAATGCGTATAGCCATCGCCGGCGGACTTCACGCCAGCCTGGGTGGCCACCTCCACGTCGTGCTTGTCCAGGAGGCCATTGGTGCCGCCGGCTACACCTCCTCCTCCTCCGCCGCCGCCGCTGCTGCTGCTGTTGTTACTGCCACCGCCGCCGACGACTGCATCGCCGCTGGAATTATCGAGGAGTAGGAGGCGATTATAAAACGAAGCTGATGACGCAGAGGACGAGATGCTGGATGATGAGTTTGGCCCGTGGCCATGGCCGTTGTTCGAATTATTGGAGTTCGGGTGCGGATGGGCCGCCTGCGATGCCTGAGCCGCGGCGGCCGAGCGGTAGTTGCTGCTGTACCGCAGATAGTGAGCCGCAGAGGCGGAGCAACCGGATCCGTTGCCGGGAACGGCGGCAGCAGCATTGTTCATGGCCACATCGGCAGCCACCAGCTCATCGTCGTCGGCATCGATGCTGGTGGTGCGCAGATTGGACAGGCCCAAGCCCATGCCCAAGCCCATTCCCATGTGGCCACTCCCACCCACATGGGCGCCCATGCCCAGATAGGCACTGAGACCCGGCATGGAGGCCAGCGAGGCGGACGTGTTGATGCAGTTGGCATTGGCGGCGGTCACCGAGCCGCTGGACATGGACGAGGTCATTGGATGGTGGTGATGGTGCTGCTGCTGCTGCTGAGCCGCCTGATGATGCTGCTGATGAGCCGCCTGCTGCTGCGGCGGTTGCTGTTGCGGCATTTGATGTTGCTGATTCGGATGCGGGTGATTCGGATGGTGGTGATGCTGGTGGTGCTGTAGGTGCTGTTGATGATGGTGGGTGCTGGTGCCGCCGCTGCTGCTGCTGCTGCTGCCGTTCGCGGCTGCCCCGCCTGCTCCTACTGCTCCTCCTCCTCCTCCGGCGGCCCCTCCGTTGTGGGAGGAGCAGCTGCACTCGGCGGCGAGTGGATCTTTGGTGTCGCTGTTCAGTGGCAAGGTCGCTCTGCGGAGCATTTCAGACAAGCGGAGGGAGTCGAGAGATCAAGAGAAGAGAGGCGGGAGAGAGAGAGAGAAAAGAGAGCCGAGACGTTGAGCTTCCTTCTTCGAATCGATCGGTAATAGCTACATAGCTTTTCGGTTTGTTTTTGGGTGGTTTGGGGGGTGGTTGAGAACGTGAGTGCGTGAGTCGGTGGGTGGTTCTGTTGTGGTGGCGGAGGAGGCAGGAGGAGCTCATCCCCTACGTCCCTGGCATGCAGTGGAGATCTCTTGTTTGTGTGTTTTGGTGTTTTTGTAACATGCAATCGAATTGATAAACTCCCCTTGGGCAACCGCAATAGGTTAGAATTAAGTGTGGTTGTAAGCGGATTACGCTTCTAATGATATTATTCACCACCCCATGGGTTGAGCCCACTTACTAATGTCCTAGTTGGTTGTGGGTTTTTTGTTTCTTCATTGCATGCTAGATAAATAAATAAATAAACTAATATGAGGCCATAAATTATGCATGAGATGCAAAACACAAATGCTCAAAGATACACAAAGCACATCGAAACACATTCACACACGCAAATGAAAATGGGAAATGCTTGAATAGAAAATTTCCTCGCACATGAATGCATGGAGGCCGAAAGAGCAGGAGAAGAAAAACAGAAACAATAAACAAAAACATCAGCAAAAAATGTTACAAAAAAAAAAAAAACAAATGGAGAAAAAATGCTTTGGAAAATTAATTCTAAAAACAAAATGCCAACAATTTTGTCCAAATAAAACAAGGCGGAATGCAAAAGCAAACAGAATTTGCTGGAAAATCTCAACAGCTGCTGGCAAAGAGAGAGAAAGAGAGGAAAAGCTGACCAAAGGAATCCCATTTTCCATTTGCCGAATTAGTTTCGTGAATTTTCAGTTGATGTTAGCATAATTGCAATTTGTTTTCCATCGTGTTTTTTCAATCGTCCTTCCCGAGGGCAAAAATAGCTTAGGCTCTTCAAGATCCCCTCAATCACTGCGATGGCCAATAATGCCTGAATATTTTAGGAGATTTCTCGTCCTCAGTTAGACAAATCAACACTGGACCACGGCTACGTGTGGCATTACTTGTTTGCACTACGGCCGGGCCACTAATAATAATAACAATAAAAGCAATGTGACGGCCATTTGCACACACATCAAATAAATAAACAATAAACATGGGAAAAAGGGTCCTAGAGTCCAAAGGCAGGACAAATCGAGCGCATTTCATGGCTGCGACCCATCGATATATAAATTCTGCCCAAAATATAAACCAATTGTTCTGTATAAATTAGTTGAAAACTGTTTTTCTGGTTTTCGTTTGGCCCAATAATTGAGCCATCGAAGGGGTCATTTCTCGGGCGTCCCACGGTGCGTATGCTTTCGTTATTCTCTATTTGGTCTCTCTCTGTGTTCCACAATCTCACCCGCTATTCCCCATAGGTTTTCCATCGATAGACAAAGGCAAAAGTTTAGGCGGAATAAGAGGCAAGAGTGAACAAAGCCTGGCCCAGACAATAACCGACAAAACAAAGAAGTTGGGCAAACAAAGAATGCCAGAGGAACAAGCAGAACTAACTTATAAGATGGAAGAAGAACAGCAACCGTAACTTAATATGGTTTAAATGGACGCAGAACGGAAAAAAGCGTAATGAAAATGTAGCTATTTTTTCGGGCATGGGATGGATGGATGGAATGGAAAGGAATGGAGCGGGATGGGCCGAAGCCCGATAATAAACCAAGGTGGCCACAAGATGAGCTGCTGCTCCCCGGTTCATAATGATAATGATGCAGCAGCTCTGGCGGCGAGGATTTTGCGTGTGCGTGGTCTGGCATCTGACGGCCGCCAGGATAAAACACACCCATTTGCAAGGGTGTATGCATGTGAGGAGGTGGCAAAAAAAAGAAAGGAAAACTTATTTTCTCCGCAAGATGAACTTAATACTAAATCAAAGTCAAAGAAAGAGGAAAAAATGGTTTTAATAATTTAAAAGAAAATTTAAAAAATTTGGAAAGTAAGAGCAATTGTAAATCTTGACTTTAGTCAATTTCTGATCTTTCTCTTTAAGACTCTTTAAGGTATGGTCTTAAATCAATCATTCGATTTTTTGAGGTCTTTCGTTCAGTACTACAGAAATCCTTAGAGGTTTAAAGTCATTTAAAATTATGTCCAAAAGGATGAAGGACTTCCAGACTCGAAATGTGTTGCATACTTTTAGACACCTTGTGAATCGGTTTTAAACCTCTGGCTAGTTATTTAACACTCTTTTTTCTAAAAAAATATGAACCCAAATAAGATGGTTAAGTACCTATGATTAAGTACTTTGTTACTCAGTCGTAAAATGAGTTTAGTATGAATTCATAGCTCGTTAAATAATTGTAACAGTAAGACCGATATTTTTATCGTTCTGTGTAAAAATGGCAGTGCCTTTACGTGTAAAGTATGAGTTATGATAGGGTTAGTGTGGGGGTCAGGTTGATCTATGTGAAAGGGGTGGTTGTTTGAGGGGAGGTGGTCACACCGAGACTCTAAAGGGATACTTTGGTGGGTGTAGTTACCTTAGCTTCAGCTCCTCATCAATATATTGTAAGAGGCTCCTACAAAAATCAAATACAAAAACAAAGATACGGAAAAAAGGAAAATAAAATAAACAGAAAATTTCATTGTGTTTAGTTTGTGGTAAGAAAAAAAGTAGAACAAAATACAAAAGTAGGAAAAGTAACAAAGTTAGTTGAGAAAAATTATTGGGCAGACCCAAATATAAAACTAAATCTACGTTCAGATCGTAAAAGCATTAATAATCTCAAAGACTTGTAAATATCAGAGTGTAAACAGGGTTTTCGTGTGAGTGTTTATCAAATATTATCAATTTTGCAGCCTCGCAAGTTGTTTAAATTAAATTCATTATACCTTAAAGCCATCACCAAGGGTAAATCTTCATTTGGTGGAAACGCGGGCGGCTGTGAAAAAATCCTAACGCCCAATTAAACGCATCAGCTAATTTGCCATGTTCATAATTTTGCCTAATGTCATCTGGCGAAGCCCATTTCTCCACTTTAAAAAGCACCCCATAAACGGGATATTAAAAAGTGTGGCATTCTCTGCCGTTTTTTCTCCCATCTTAATCTTTTTCCCCCCGCCTAGGCAATTAATAATGTTCCCTTTTTTGTTGGGCTTGTGGCAGCACAAAAAAATAATAATAAAAAAAAAAGGAAAACGTAAACAAAAAGCAAAAACAAATTCTTGTTGTACTTTCTGCTTATGACGGTTTAAATGAAATTAACCATGACGGTCGAGCGGCCCCAAGGAGAAAGGCGTAAGACGAGAGCCAGCTTTTGAAAACTTTTCGGGCGCCACAAAGCAGCGGATGTGGGCGGAGCCTGGGACCGCAGTTCAGGAGGCGGGGGCGTGGCACTTAGCCAGAAAGTCGCTTGTAAGTAGCGCTCAGTACATAGAAATTGGCGCAGCCGTTTTTATGGCTTCAATAAAATTGGGCATCAGCATCGAAAGTGCGGTTTTGGAGGGTCTGAAAAATAGGGAGCCTTTGGAGAAGCACTCGCATGCTTATAGACAGAGTGACTTGGCTTTGTTGTCTGCGACGCCACTCGAGTGGCGGCTGCCGCAAAGTGTTTGCCACATAACTCAAATCGAGCACTTCCAGACGCCCCTTGTTCCACCCACCACAGCCTCCGATCGCTGGGAGGGCTTATTAAACGTGCCACTCTCCTTCATCAGCGGCCAACAATGTGTAATCGTTTAAAATGACAAATGGCGCCTCATCCGGCGAGTACACAGAGAGAAAAATGTCACCCTTGTTGGGCAAAACATAAAAAATAGATTTGCTGTGGATTTTGGTGTTAATTTTGAAGAATATAAATTTCCAAATATTTAATACATTTTTGTAGGTTCTATTGAATTCCTATTAAAAACATTTTGACATTCGAGCCAATCAATTTCCTTTATGTGCTTAAAGCGCACTGATAAAATTCTACCTTTTTTCATATAAATAAAAAACTGATATGATTAATGTCAAATGTATGATCTAAACGTATCAATTTCATATTTTATAAAATCAGTTGTTTCATAAAAATTCTAAAAATACTACGTTAAAGTATTAAATGTTGTCATTTTTAAACAATCAATGTGAAATCAAATAAATATAATCTTTATTCATTAAATCAAACTGATATGAATAACGTAATCTTTAAAAAATATTAAATTGATCTGCTCATATGTCAATTTTTTTCCTGTGCGCATATTTTCTGTCCCTAAGATTTATGACTATTAATCAAAAAATAATATAAATTTTATAGATAGATAGGAGATTAGGAACGAAAATAAAATTCTTGGCTTTAATTTTGCGTTACTTTGTTGCTTCGAATGCCATTTTTCTCTGTGCACCCGCCATTTTGAAGTTGCAGTTGCGTGCCACGCGGCGTATGCTTAATGTGCCATCCATCTATCCTTTTGCCCCCGCTCTAGTTGGCTGTTGCGTTAATTGATTTCTTGGAAACTTTTCCTTCTCCATGGAGCCCGCCACTCACTGCTAGTTTCAAGTCCTGCCATCTATCTGCTGTGTAGCCCCAATTTTTCATCGCGTTCGCCTTCCTTGCAAGTTTCTTGTTTTCCGAGCCACGCTGATCCGGGAGCTGAGCTGAGGCTGCTTATTATTATTATGTTGCAGCATACTTGGGCGGGTGGGCTTCTCGCCCTGACGTAATTACTTCTGGCTGGCAATTAAATAGCCCACAAGTTTGAAGCCCGCCCTGGGAATCATGGAAGCCAGGTTGCAATTATACAACCGAGTACGAAACTGGGAATAGGAAAGGGACTGCACTCGTCCGTGGAGTGGATGAAAAATTCACAAGTTAGAAGTTTTCCCCGGCAGAGACACGTAGCGGCGACTAAGCGCAAGCGTGTGTAGCAGCCATATACACATGAAAATGCAGCAAAATACGAAAGTAAACACACAGCTCCCGGGAAACGTGCAACTAAAAAATTGACTGTGCTCGCACAAGCCTTAAAGTTCCGAGCAAATTACACAGGGCGCGTGCTGCGGCCTTAAGTTTTTGGCCAGCATAAAAAGCGCAACATGCAATGCAGTTCGGTTTAACAGCTGCTGGAATATTGCCCCCTTTTTTTCGGCTAACCTTAAAGACATGTTCATAATCAGGGTGCCGCTCAATTTCGGTTTTGATCGCTCGGCGCTGGGACTATAAATACAAAAGAGAGAAAAACGGAGAAGTGGCTATAGAATCGTATAACTAATAGTTTGACCAATGGGTTGGCTGCTGCTGATGCATTTAAGCGCCCCCTCCCTGTGGGAAATTTTCCCAAATGCTGCTGGGTGATTTTCAAGCTGGTGAGTCCACGGCCTGCATTTAGTTTACAAGTGTATGTACATGTGTGTGTGATAGTGTGAGTGTGAAAACTGAAACCGAAGTACCAAAACTGAAGCGGGTTTAACCCGTCTCGCAAGTAAGAAAACCATAGACAAAACTGTAGCATAGGTCCAGGCAACGGCAGAGAAAAGCGATAGGAAAAGGTTCGACGGCACTTACATGTCACTGGGTAACGTCTCGGGACTAGAAGATCGCTCGTTCCACGTGGACTTCGTCGTCATTCCTTGAAATGTGAGAAAGAATACAGAATATCAAGAGATGCTAAATTTAAATATACATATAGCATTTAAATTTATGTTTATTATTTAATATTTCATCAAGATAAAATATTTCTTTGTTTAAGAAATTTATAAATATATATTTAAAAGCGTATGCAATATATTTTCTCAAAATATGCGTCCTAATAATAATTTTATTGAATTTATTAAATTTTTTAAAATCAATAATCCCTTATTTGTTTTTGTATCAATAATATTATAGGCGAGAATAGAGTATTAAGAATTTTTGAATTTAAAATGTAAAATATACTCTTTCAGTTCAAAAATATTCAATAAATATATGTTGAAATTTAGTTTTTATAGATCATTTATTCTCCAAATAGCTATTTTTATACCCTTGCAGAGGGTATTATGATTTCAGTCAGAAGTTTGCAACGCAGTGAAGGAGATGTTTCCCCATAATGTTACCCCATAAAGTATATATATTCTTGATCAGCATCACTAGACGAGTCGATCTAGCCATGTCCGTCTGTCCGTCCGTCTGTCCGTCTGTCCGTCCGTCTGTCCGTCTGTCCGTCTGTCCGTCCGTTTCTACGCAAACTAGTCTCTCAGTTTTGAAGCTATCGCGATGAAACTTTCCCAAAAGTCTTCTTTCTTATGCAGGTAGTATATAAGTCGGAACCAACCGTATCGGATAACTATATCTTATAGCTCCCATAGGAAGGAAACGTTAAAAAAATTCTAGCTTCGGTGTTTTTTTGAAATAAAACCTTCTACTCTTGGAAATATGTTTTTTAAATATTTCAGAATTTCGAATAAAATATTTTAAAAATCGGACGACTATATCATATAGCTGCCATAGGAACGATCGGAAAATTAATGGGAAAGTTACACAGAAATAAATTTTAGCTTTTTTGGTTTTTATTGTATTCTCTTCTACTTTAGAACATGACTCTTTTTAAATATTTCCGAATTTCAATTTTCATTTTATCAAAATCGGACGACTATATCATATAGCTGCCATAGGAACGATCGAAAAATTAATGGCAAATTAATTGGAAACAAATTATAGCTCCGTTGGTTTTTATTGTATTCTCTTATACTCTAGGATATGATTTTTTTTAATATTTCTGAGTTTTGAATTAAATTTAACAAAAATCGGACGACTATATTATATAGCTGCAATAAAGAAGGATAGAAAAAATAATATTAAAATAATACGAAATTTAAAATTTTTGCGAATTGTAAGTTAATAGGAACGATCTGCAAGGGTATATAAGCTTCGGCTGGCCGAAGCTAGCTTTCTTTCTTGTTTAATCAAAATTTGTACTCAAAATCAGTACACACAATAAAACCCGTCGGGATTAAGTTTCTGGTATTTATACGCATATCGTTTTTACTGGTAAAATTTATATTAAATAATTAAATTTTTGCCGATTTGTCTCTATCTCGGATTTCTCTCTCCCATTTGATCTTATTAAATTTCCCACGTCTTAAATTAATGTTTCCTAAATATAAAAGATTTTACCACTCGACTTACCTGTTTTTAGTGTGTGATTTTGCGCTGGCACGCCATTGGTGCGTGACGTCATTTTGCTGGCAATGCGCTGTGGCACACCAGCCACAGACTGAAAAGAAATGGGGAGAAAGGAGACTTTTAAACTCTGTCAAAGAATGGGACGTAACTCCCCCATCGTCAGTCATTCGGTGACAAAGTTTCCGCCTGTGATAAAATCTCATAAATCAAAATCATATTGGGATTTTTGAGCGTGATGCGTTATTTTTGCCAAGAAAAGGTGCCGAGCTAAGTAAAATTTGAATATCTACGGCTAGAAGAGCAAGCTGGGAAACTTATTTGCCACCGGCTGCTAAAAGTTTGCAAAACATCCAAACAAATTGAAGATTTATGACTTGACAGGGACCCTCCGGAAGCACCGAATGGCCATGAAAATGCCTTTAAAATGACTGTTTCTGTCCCTGCTGGTCGAACGATTAAAGTTAAATTTGATTTGGCATTTGCAAGTGTCGTTAAATAAGCCTTGGGCTTCGGCTGTCTAGACGGCTGCATTAGTTGGGGCGCCTTTGGCGGCCAATTAATTGGGTCGAACTCCAAAGCCATAAGGCTCCTGAAAGCGCTCTAATGGCGCACTAAATCGTTGACCAATCCCACAACGCACCGGAGCTGAAATGTTCTTGGAGAGCTTTGGCTTTAGCTTAAGAAAACTTTCCTTACGGTTTTTCCGCTTTTCTCTCTCTCTAAAAGCGTAAATAAATTACGGGGAAAGGTGCCAAGTGGCCAGTCCTAGTGGCATCCCCAGTCTTATCTGACCCCATTTCCGCCCAGGGGGGCCGACTACTCACCTCCTCATCGCCATCGAGATAGTAGTAGAACTGCGGGTTGGGACTCTGGTACTTCTGCAGCAGCTCCTTGGCCACCCGCAAGGACATCTCGCACTGGACGAAGGGATGCTGCAGCAGGCGCTCGGCGGTGGGTCGCTTCTTCGGGTTCTTCGTCAGCGCCGTCTTGATGAAGTTGTGGAACGTTGGGCTCCACTTGTCCTTGTTGTTCAGGGTGGGCGGCTTGAAGCCGCTCTTCGACATCAGGAAGAGGGCGCGCATCGGATGCAGATCGAACATCGGCGGCTGCAGTTCAGCGAGCTCTGTTTGTATAGGGCAAGGAGAATATTTAATAATTAAAAAACCATTACTTCAAGTAGCAAAAACCAAATTTTCATTTGTTCAACTATTTTAGCATAATTAAGTTTAATTGTTTATTTCCTAAATAAATCATGATATAGGCAGAAGTCTATACACCTATTGTTTATTTATTTTTGTAAACACAAGTATATCGCAGGTATATTCAAGTTATTAGGTTCAAACATTTCTAAAATAAATAAAAACTAAATAAAACCCATTTTGTATGAAACGTTTTTATTTTTTTACATGTTTCAACCTTGTTTGTGTAATAATGTTTAAATACAGCCTTTGTTTTGTAGCCCGTTTTACTTATTGTTTGACAATTTTAGTTTATTCCGCAATAAACTACAGAAAACAATAGAGTACCAAATATATATCATTTTATTATTGATTGTTTAAATTAAGTAATTTGTAATGGAGTTACTCACCGATTGCGGTTATGCCGCAGGCCCAAATATCACAAAGTTGATTATAGCCACCCTTTCGCTCCACGGCCGCCACTTCGGGAGCCATCCAGTAGGGTGTACCTAAAATTGAGTGAAAATAAAAGAAAACAGGTATTTAAAATGATTGAATTAATTTGACAGTGGTTATCAATAGCCATATTTTTTTGTTTTTATTGCTGCCTCAGCTAATTATGCAACATTCACACATTTAATTTCATTGCTGCCGATTATGTTGGTGTCATTTATTCATTTGCCGGCCAAAGCGCGTCGTTTTTAATTTAATTAGCGTTTTTTATGCGTCAATGTGACAATTGTGCAAATAAACAAATTGCTGAATTATGCAAAAGCAAGGTAATCAAAGCCGGGGGAGTGAAAAAGGCATTTGCGACACATTTTGCTCTTCATTTTGGGCGCACGTTTTATGATCACAAGGAGTGGGGCTGCTAATGCGCCCATTACTCATACGCCATGTTGCAACGAGGCAACAATTTTCGCAGCGCCAGCAGCAGCAGTAGTAGAAACTGCCATGGTAACAGCATCTGCTGAAGTAGTTTCCCTCGAATGGATGGATGGCGCTCGAGAAAATTAATTTTCCTCCCGCTTGACAAGTAGATGAGAGAAGTCGTCGTGGCAGTTAATTGTATTTTCAATTTAATTAAACCACAACGAAGGTGGAAAATCAGGTTTGATGCCTGGCTCTTTGATACGGCCAAGTTTAAGTTACGGTTTTCGGTTTCGCCCGGGGCCTCTACCCGCTTCCCCTCCTCATCATCATTGTTTGAGCTTCGATCCGGCAAAGTGATGCGGAATGGAGGCTGAATTGAAAGCATCGGAGCAATGCGAATTCTCTGAACTTTCGCATGCATTTTAATTAAAGGGCAACACAAACAAGTGCAAACACACAGAGCTACTGATACTGATACTGGAACACAAAAACACACACAGTGAGGGAATATCATCCACAAAGTGACAGCAACAACAGCCAGTCAAGTATCATTTTGTTAATTGCTGAAAAAAGGAGCAAAAAAACTGAAAATGCTGGAATTAAAGGAGACAGACGGCAAAATTAAATGTTGCCATTTGCTGGAAAAAAAAAAGAAAAACGGTGGCAGGCTTTTAGGTTGCTGCATCTATTTAATGCCAAGACGCATTTCCGTCAACTCGCGAACTGGGAAACATTAAGGACAGCCCACACACATACGCATATTCATCTTTATGGCATAACTGCGGCTGAATGGGCCAAAAAGGGGGTTGCCGGTGGGCGTTACAAGCCAAAGTCACCGAGGTGGAAGTTTCTGCTCATCGTGTGTTGCCATTGACTTGTTAATGACACTAAACACAAACGTAAGCACCTTTTTATTGAATAATAAAAGCGCCAGGCTGTCGCCACCCCCTTAGTCTCTGGTTTTTCTCTCTCTCCTTGTTTTGTACCCCCCTGTAAAGACTCCTTTTCCATCTCTCCTGTTGCCATTGAGCTTTGTTTTTCTTGGCTACAAGGACAAAAATTCACTGAGAAAATAAAACATCACCGGGGCATTGAAGACAAGCTTCAGTAACATTCGCTTAAATAATATCCTGGAAGATTTAATATTAAAGGATTCTGATTTAAGACTCCTCAAAAAAAGACAGTAAACGACGTTGAATTACCTTAAAATGTTAAGCTTTCGGGTAAAACCATAAAATACTTACTTTTTCATTTTAAAATTGGACTATTCATTTACAAGGTTTAGCGAAAATAATTAAAATAATAAAGAATTGATTGAATTTTAAATATTTTTTGCAGCCCCCTTAAGAGTTGGTTTTTCTTGTTTCACAAAAAAATTACTTAAACGTTGAAGGCATATGCTATTTCCAATTAGAGCTCTTTCAAAAAGTGATTTTTCCGAGTGTGCATCCTTACTTCGCCTGAAAATATGCAACCACAAAGAGCTGGCATATCTTGGATCAGACGAGTATTTACTGTCATTCCAACAATCGATGTAAGCTCAGCAATTGACTTATGTTCATATGCTAGAAGTACAAACGATTCGGGGTGGACTTCTATGCCCCTATGCAGAGTTTCCAGACTTTCATAGATAGACGGATAAAATTGTGGGTGTGTGTGTACTTATCACCACATTTGTCACAGAAGTCGCAACAACGTCAGGAATGACAACAACAAACTACAATGGCAGAGGGAGCTGGAGCCTGGAGTGAAGAGCTCTCGGAATGATAACAGTAAGCGGACGTCACATTGTTTGACGGCTTCACACAAACAGAGGGGGAGATAGTCTCAAGTTCCTATACAATCGGCCAGGCCACCTCACCATCAACCAGAAAGCTTCCCGTCAATCCCCTCGAAAACCCTGTCACTAACATGCCACAAAAGATGCTCGCTCAGCTCGAAAACGTCATGAAAACGCAGCCAAAAGTGGCAACAAAGCAGCAAAGGGAAACAAAGGACCCGGCAACCTCAAGGTCGTTAAACTTGGAGTTTGCCATGCTATATATTTATATATATTTTTCTCCCTTCACTCTCTTTTTTTACAATTTTTCGATGCACAAATTGCAGCACATTAATCGCACACTGGCAACCAAGCGGACTTGTCCATTCAAATAAATCTGAAATCAAATTAGCGCTGCGAGCTTGCTTTATGACCAGCTTTTCACTTTTACGACGGACTCAAAGGACAAAGGACGGCATTAAAAATTAAAGTGCTTAGTCGAAGCAGGATAAATCCAATTTGGCGTAAATGAAATCAAATCAGATGCCGGTTTTTATGGTACTCCTTCGCTATTCACTGAAAATGTCATGAACTCTAACGCGGCTTAGATTTTATTAGCGCCAGGACTCTGCGGCTTGATAGCTTTTCTTTGGCGAAATTAAGGACATGAAGAGTGAAGAGCCAGCTGTCATAACTTAATTAGCTGGCGAGTGTCAACGGACCCGATGAAGGGTTGTGAGAATTTTAATTAAGTGCAGAGCCAGGCATTTGAAATAATTAATTGTGAGGCGGCGGACAGAGGAACTTGTGGGCTGTGCGACTTCTGGGGCTTAACTGCTGGCCGCGCGTAACCGCAAAAATCTCATTTGCAAAGTCTTGCAAGTTGAAAGCCCCAGCGATGACGACGGAAAAAATGGTAGCTAATGCAAATCATGGCTGCTTCGTCTGCTCGTCGAAAGATTGCAAGTTGTCATGACAAACTAGTCCCCCTTTTTTTCCGCACATGGCCTGTGACTGATATGTTTCTATTTGCATTAAAATTGCGTATACTTCATGTTGCCCTAACATCTTAAACTTGAGGGCTTAGGCAAGTAATTTAAATTAACATAACAGGGAGAAAAAGCAAGATAAATAAGTACTTTACATATTTTGAATTATTTTCTACAACCACATCCTTAAGAGAAATAGGTTTCTCAAAATTGTACATTAATTTTTATAAACGTAGAATTTATAACGTTTTGTACCTTTTCTCTCTGAGGTTGCTAGAAAATTGTCTTAAATGGGATTTGGAAAATAGCTTAGCGCTGTCCACTGCAGCAGAAAAGCTATGGGAGAAGTGCGAGAAGCTGAAATCTATTAGTGACAAAAATACGTGGCTGAAGTGGAAGGAGGTTCAAGAGGACTGGGAAAGCTGAACAGGCCACAAAAGAAGTAGCCACCAAACTAAAACGTCGACTCGCCAATTGGGACATTTTTCAAAAATTATTTGCTTTTGTGCTTCAGTTTGGGGCAACAACAAAGGTGGAAAACTCCCCCTCTTTTTTTCACCCCCCAGAAGGATGGCAAACAAAGAGCCAGACTGGCCACCTGCTGGTCGGCTACTTTTGTCCAGCTTTCCCCCCACAACTATGCTCCTTGGTTTTTTATACTTCGCCTGCATTTGAAATATTCTGCAAATTGAATTGTTCCCTTTGGACCCGCCATCGTTTTTTGATTATATTTGAGAATTCCTTGCAGGAGCCATTATAATGCTACTCCTAATTGAATTGCATTCAATTGGAGAGTCCATTCAGGCTTTTGGCCATTCCAAAGTGGTTTGAGATGGAACCACTCGGACGTATACTTGATTTTCCACCCCTGTCTAATTTCATGTTTTCCTCCTGTGTTATTTGTGCTTTGTCATTTCTGACAGCTGCTCCATGGGTGAGGTGGAGCGTTTAGGAGCGTTAAACGCAATTGTTGCTCCTGGCAGGACGCTCCACTGGCATTTTTCTGCTTTGATGCTTCGGTGTGCCAGCCACAAAACAGAATCTCATAATGATAAACACTTTGTGTGACAGCACACCGTGCCCCGCCCACAGCCCATATTTCCAAGGTTTCCACTCGAACTCGAATTCTGACTTCGTTGGCAAGTGTCCTTGATGCCAATCGATTTCGCAGATGTCCTGCTGCTAAATAATATGCTGAAAAGGAATTTTCCTTAGAAATTTTCTTAGAAATCGCTTGCTTGAATCTGCATAAATCCATTGGTAGAAAATAATGAAATGATTTAGGATACTTTTCGTTAAAATACATCTGCTTTTTTATGGGCATATGTTATATGATTCGTTATTCCCCCGAAAATACTGTTTTTTTAATGATTATTATATATTTTACTCACCTATAAAGCTCTTGCGTTTGTTAATGGTGGCCGTGATCTGCGCCGAAACTCCAAAGTCCGCCAGTTTGACATCCCCGTACTCAGTCAACAGGATATTCGCACCCTTGATGTCCCGATGCATTTTGCCCATGGAGTGCAGGTACTCGAGTCCCTTGAGGGTCTCCCGGCACATGTACGCGATCTGGACTTCGGTGAGGGGACCGGTGACCTGGTAGATGTCCTGCAGACTGCCACCGCCGCAGAACTCCATGCAGATCCAGAGCTTGTCCCTTCGCAGGTACGATCCGTAGTAGGCGATGATGTTCGGGTGCCGGCAGTCCCTCATCATGATGATCTCCTGCTGGATGATCTGTATGTCGTCGGAGGGCTCCAGCTTGATGACCTTGATGGCAGCCAGCTCATTGCTCTGTATTCGTTTCGCCTGTAAGAAATCAGAGAGAATGAGAGATTGCCTTGAATCAATACCTTTGGCTCTCGAAAAGTCAATGAAAATATGGAGATTTTTAAAGGGGAGGCGAGGCGTTAAGGGTGGCATTTTTGATTGGCTGCACACCTGCAGCATCTGGGGCATCGCCTCTCTGTTCATCTTCATTCATGCAAATATTCCTGCTCGTTTTCAATAAATTTTTAGCGCGCGCTCTTGCACATAAAAATGCATTGTAACCACTTCACAATTTACCCCTCCCATCCCTCCGGCAGCCAATGGTCCATATTATTTGCATAGAACAATCACCCACGGGTGGAAGTTCTCCTTCGCAAAACCACTCACCCCCCAACTGAAACCCAATCCCATTTCCATTGGCAATCCCTATCATCGTCGACGTCATCAGGCGGAAACCTGCGAATGCCTGCAAGGAATATTAAAAGGCTGAGAAGCAAGAAGGCTGAGTAAAATCGGCTCCGATTTCTCTGCTCTCCGTTGAAAGCTGAATAATGAATAATTATTCAATAATAATGGTTATATTAAAAACGCCATGAAAATTTCAGATTTTTTAAAATGTTAAGAGAAAATTCCTTAAAAAAATAAAAACCGCTGCAAAAATAAACCTTAAATATGTAATTAATGCTGGAAATATACGAACATATTCAGAAAAAGGAATTGTTGACAACTTAATAGTCACATAAAATTATCAAAATTCAAAGAGGTAAAAGAGAAATAAGCTCTGTCAAATAAATAGGCTAATAAATCATTAGAGATAAATAAATACAGACATTTCCGATATACAATTTACGCGTTTATATTTTTGGAAATTTAAAATGAACCAAAATCTTTAAATAAATAAACAAATTGACTATAAACGTTGAAAGGCATTTTAAGAATTTTTGTCGGCCAAATAGTTACAATTGTCTTGTAATTATTGACGTACTTCAGATGAAATTACAATAATGACCGTTTGACCTTTTAAGGGAAAAATACTGAGTGGCTTTCCGTTCTGTCCACCTGATCATTAAGCCCAAATGTAATTTGGCCAGGAAGTTGCCGCTGTGACCAGTGGATTCCATTTAAGAACTGGCTTTTCGCTTCGCAGCTCCCTGCAATAATTTCGCAACGCTTCGCTTCGTTTGGGCCAGCATCCTTGGAGGATATGGAGTTGAAGCCACACACACAAAGGAACAGCTACAGCTACAGATACACACACAGAGGGAGACAACAATGCATGTGGTATCCACTTTCAGCCCTTCACCTGCCATCCGGCTACCTTTATCCTTGACGTCCGTGTGTGCGAGTGTGTACGTGTACATGATTCCACCATTTATCCTTGCGTCATGTACTTTATACGCCCACGCCGCTTTCTCCTCCATCTCGGCCTCCCACTCCTCCTCCTTCGGCTTTTTCCGCCTTTCTCCTCCTCCGCAGAGCTCTTATTTTTATTTTCGTTGCATTTATTATTCAATGCGGTAGCTCCTGTTCTCCCCCTCTCTCTCTCTCTATCTGTCTCCCTCTCGCTTGTTTGTCTTGTGTGTAAAAGTGTGTGTTATTTTTTTTGCAATGATATCTTGCTCGACTTAATGAAGATAAAGCGATTTTTATTGCACTGCAGCAGCAGCTTCAATCGAGTTTAGTTTGTTTATTTTTCTTTGCTTTTTTTCAGCTGATTGCTTGTCCTTGCTTTTCATTTTGCAGTTTCTACCTCCTGCTGCATTGTTGCATTTTTGATGTTTTTATTGCAATCTGGGCTGGCTTCCAAAATGCTATGCCATACTTTACGGCAGGAGGTCTCCGTCTCCGTCTCTGTCTGTCCGTCTGCCTGCCTTTATTGCCGTCTCTCTCTCTCTGGCTGTGGCTTCCCTCCCTTTCCCTCCAAGCCAGTTGACAGGCGGCCATCGTCGGCTTTTCTTGTTCCTCATCTTGTTTATGGTAAATAAATTATGCGTGATTTTTAGACAAGTTCCCTGCGGCTGCCGGAGCAAAGATGAAAATGAAATGTGTTGAGGCAGCAGCTGGAAAAAGGCGGGGGTGGGGAGGGGTAGCGGAAAAGTGCCCCGCCCCCATTTCCCCAGCTGCGGTAAGCATAAAAAGCTGCTGATATGCACAAGCCAAAGTGGAAAGGAGCTTCTGAGCTTCTGCTTCGATGGCTGAAAGGAAGCGAGCGCAGTACATCCTGCCATCCAACTATCCTTCCTGCAGCATCCCAAGAAGATATGCAGCATCAACAAAATTTATAATGAGCTGCGCCAACGTCAACGTCTTCCTCAACATTTTAAACGGATTTGCTCATCGCCGAATGCAGCTGCAAAAGTCATGGCAAACAAAGTTTTAATGACTTATTTCGGGTTCAATTACAAGAGCCAACCGGCGATTGATACCGGCAGCACTTGACGTATTTATTTTAATTAAAAATGCATTAAATCATTGTCAGTGGGACATTGAAGGGGTCTTGCAATGACCGGTAATTATTATGGGAAATATGTGAGGGGAAAAACAAATTTGCTCTGTAATGTATGCTACACTTTTCACGCAACCCGAGATGTAAGCAATCGATAACGATCATCGGTGGACGGGGGGTGGCAAGGTGGGCGGTGAACTACGCCATTTCCTGTGTGTGTGTGTGTCCGGCATGTAATCGTTACAATTTCCGACATATGCTCATATGCATGAGCAAGCCAGCGCGGCCCCAGGAGCAGAATATCCTTCCTTCCTTTTCTTTCCATTCCCGCCTCTTCTCTTCTCCTTCCTGTGGCTTTTCGCATCAGGGAAAAAGGGTTTACTTCTCCACTCTCCCATCCATTTTTCGCCCTACTTTTCACATTATGTCCGTAATGGATATTACGCGTTAAGCTCGAATTTTCATTCCTGCATTGCTTGCTAATTGCATGGACTGACGGCAAAAAATAATGTTTTACAAAAAAAAAAAGCGAAATACAGTATATGTTCAGTACTCAAAATTCAACTAGGCTAAAGATTACTCCATGTGGTTTTTTAAATTCTCCATTAAAAAAATTACTTATGTACATAAAATACTTTTGAAATAATTGACCATGTACTTCAATCGATTTAAATATTTTGCAAGGATTATTTTCATTCAATTTGAACCGACAACTTACTTAAGCTGAGCTTTATAAATGCTTTTTATGAACTGCAAATCTTAACAATCTCTTTAATAAACACAACATAAAAATTTATTATTTTATTTTGATATGCAAAAAATATTGAAAGCATTTAATAAAATTATTCATATTTTTGTAGAAGACTCAACTTTATTTTTCTTATACAGGGAACTCCATAATATTCGACATGTTCGGCACGTTGTGCACAACGTGGGTCATTGGACATTGGACACGCAGGCTTAATTTCATTTCAGGGCTTCCGCGGGAAATTCATTTAGCGGGCCAAAATGAAAAGAGCTTAAAATTGTTCAGCTTAAAATTGTGCACGTTTCAGTCCTCCTGCCTTTCGACCTCATTCATTTGTTTTGCATTTGACGGAAATAATTTATGATTTAATTTGAGAAAAGGTCGCGCTGCCAGCCCGAATCGCGAACTTAATTCAATTTGCCGAGAAATTTAAATGCGTTTTGTTTTTGCTCACGTACAATTGAAATCGAATTACGTTATTGATCGGGCATCTCCACCTCCGCCTATTTCGCACTCCTCCATAAACGAACACTTGATGCCGGACGGAGCACTTGAGAGTCTTTTTCGAGCCGCTCCGATAACTCATATTAGCCACTTGAGTTTATCGATGAGCTCGCAATTCTCCAACAATTTTCACGCAATGCCAACAAAAAAAAAACAATATAGATGGCCTAGGGAATTTCTCAAGTGGCTCCAGAGGTCTGGGTCATTGCCAAGAGACAACGCTGGCATCTTGACGAGCGTTTTTCTGTTTGCTGGAATGCGGAAAGGAAAGGGAGGCGGGTACAATAAATGGGCGGGAAATTGAACGAATTTGTCACTGGGCTAGACAAAAGGCTAATGGTGTAACGGCTGACCAAAAAATATGCGGCAATCAATCAATCAAAATGTCCAATCGTTATAGGATGAACCTCGGCAATATTTGATAACCCAAAAACACACAGGGAGCAAAATAAAGTATAATATTTATAATCTAATAAATAATTAAAATCTTTTAATAAATTTTAAAATTTTCCAATAAAGTTTCTAGGTATACAAAAATATTATGCAGTTTTTACAAATATTAAAGAAAATGAAGGAACGTATTGATGAAGCCATGTTACTTAATTCCAAACTGGCATTATTCGTGCGGTGCATAAATCTGATTCCCCATAGAATTCAGCTCTTTGTTCGGGGGACTATCCCAACTGATTCAACATTGCGAGCAATAAAGATAAAATTGTGCAATATTTCCATTCAGCGCACAAATTCAGTGTTTGCCGGTGACACGCCCACTCGAACGCCCCCTTTTGCTCTGCCTCCGCCGACGCCAAAAATAGAACAGAATTTCATGCTCTTTTTTTTGCTCTTCCTCAGCTTATTTCGGAATGCTTCTTTCACTGATGTTTTCCGTTTCCCGATTTCGGCTCCCCATTTGCCACATGTACGAGTACTTTTCGCCGCAAATATTTGCCATTTTTCGCTGTCGGTTTTGTCGGTTAATGCGGGCATTATGTCAGCTTTCCAAATTGTTTATTCGCGCATTTGGTTTGTGGGGTTGGGTATTTCGCAAAACCCCCTTTCCTTCTGGTGGGTGGTAATGAACCCCGATTTCTTTGTGCCGCATTTCGACCCCGCATGAACTCCGGCGCTATTAAATGCACAAAATCTGCAGCTAAAAATGCCTTTCGTTTTAATTTGGGGGATAATCCACATTCGGACTTCTGTTTAGCATTCCGCCATGAAATATGCGCGCTGTTATCGCTGACACTCAATAAACAGTTTAAAACCACGCAGAGCGGAAAATGAAAAGAAAATATGTTGCGGGTGGTGGGTGGTTGGGGGTGGGTGGCGCTAAAGTGGGCT